TTTTTCTCAAAATATGAAAAAGAAGCTTCGCGCTCGAGAAAAATTATACCGGGCAAAAGGTTTTAAAACACTTAGAACTTTTATTAGTAAACTTTGAAAAACTCATCGTTATCTTCCAACAATGAAGGTAGCAACTTTCGCTCAGCTATGCAAATTACTCTCGTGTGAGCGGCTGATTAGTGAGCCTGGGAGAGTTTCAAAGGGTTTCCAGTGATAACAGGGCACCACCCTGGGAAGCGGGAGAGTAAAAGAACCCCTGGGATGTCTGTCTCAGGTATTGCTAGTATCTGATATATGTTTTGTTCGCTCCTTTAGACGACCCGAAATCCCGCCACCTTACCAAAGCAAGGGCTCACCGCAGAAGAGTCCAAAAAGCGACCGTGACAGTCTGGATGAGTATGGACCCAAATTTCAGAAAAATGGAACGTTTGGTAACAAAACGAAAAATGCCCCGGAGAAAACGGACGATGCAGTTTTCGATACATATGTTTGAGTTGCTGCGTATGCTAAGGACCTTGTTTTCGCTCGTTGAAGCTTTTCATTAGCTTGTTCAATTCGAAATCGTCCTGAAATGTTTTAAGACTTTTCCAGAGAGATGACGCGCGGTGAGTCTAGTTGTGAACCGTTAATTAGATTCGGACTTGTTCTTTAATCTCAGTAAATTGCATTTATCTCTGTTCGCTCTGTAATCGCCTGAATATTTCGGAAGGATTTCATGAAGTTACGAAGTAATCTAGAACTTCCTCAAACCAGCTTATATTAGCAACATCAAATTTTTTTGTTTTGACTTTTTTTAACCTGCGAAAACAGCTTTCTCTCCTCGCTACTCGGCATTAGCGATGTTTTTCTTTGCTGGCGAAATGTCCCTAGCGGCGAGGAGCTAGGCGAGACAGCTGTTTTCGCAGGCTAGGATGTTTTAAGCCGCGCTTTTCTTGAGAGAGAGCATGCTTGGAAAGAGAGAAAGGGTCCGTCCCAACCGCTAGCTGCCGCCACGCTTGTAAATAGAAAACAGGCCAGTCTCCAAGTATTAATATGTACACTTAGCCAAGGCTAAAGATAAACCTGCCATTAATAAATTGATAATTTACTTGAAACAATAAACTTGTAACCATTGCAAAGAAATCGACTTTGAATTGAGCCTTCGATCAGTTAAAAACTATGAACTTGTCAGGGGAGAACTTCGGTGGATCCACACTTGAGCACGCGATACGGTAATGTGATACTGGTAAGCGGATACCCTGTTTTGACAGCTGTCAGTTGACCACAACATGGATGTCCAATATCGGGTTGCAGGCTCCCACACTAACTAGAAAGTGTGACATTTCACATTGGCTACCCTGTGGTGCGAAAGGATGTTCGGATGGCCGGACGTACGGTCACGTGCACGTGCGGTCCAAATTTCTTGGACAGATAGGATAACCAAATTTTCTTAGCTATTGGGCGCCGCTCGCTCGCGTGGAGCTACGCTAAAATTCAAACTTAGCTCCGAGGCTTAGGCGAGTGAAACACTATAGGAATAAATAGTTAGTCCCTCAATCTCAACGTGATTTTTTTGTTCAAGGATGTTGACGTTAACTTCACAAAAGCATCAACAACAAAACAAAAAAAAACGGGCAACGTTTTCTACATTTATTGGCATGCAGTCATCTTCATTTTTGCCGACCATTATTCCTTCTTGCTTTGTCGTATTTTTTGTTGTCCTTTTACGGTATTTCCAGTGTTCACTATTGGAGATGAAGTTTTGTTGCCCTTTTTATAAAACGTAGCTTCTGGGAACGATTGTGGGGGCAAAATGAAAGGATACGTTCCATCAAAATAGGAGCACAGCTTTTATTTGTTAATTTTAACTTTATCGTCTAATGAGTCAAAAGTAATTGCTCATTAACTAAAAACTAAGCTTGCAAAATTGTTAACTGCTGTTTACAGTAGGTAGAGCGAGAATGAAACAATAAAGTGACACCTATCCAAGCCTACAAAGTAAATTTTCCCCTACCGGAACAAATTTTCCGTAAAAAGGTTACCGTTGAAATACGAGAGTAAACGGCTTGGTGCTAAAGTCCTAATTACTGTCACGTGCTCTATTCTCTGGCCTGAAGCCTTTTCTTTGAACAAAGGAACCACCGAATTTATTGATTTTGTACGTTCACCCCTTTTAACATCCGGCGATGAACTCGCAACAATTGCTTTTGGCAATGAGCATAATTTCCTAGAAGGCCTTAAAATCACTGAAACATAGTGATACTATATTATACTAAGAGTTTAAAGAGCATTATAAAAAATCTACTACTGAGCAAAGCGATCAAGCCATTATCCTGACAAGAGTTGCAGTTTTAAGATGATGTTACGCGGGACGATTTGCAACGACGATTTTTAGCACAACACAGCGTTGCAATGTTGCAACCATGTTGCAACCATTTGAAACAATGTAACAATGTTGCAATGCTGTGTTGCGCTAAAAATCGTCGTTGCGAATCGTCTCTTATAACTTCACCTTTAGCGGAGGCTCAATGTCTATGCGATGGATGAACGTTTTGCATTGAAAGAGAATGCCAACAATTAGAGCAATGGTACTCAGGGTTAGCTTTGCCTTTCTGCAAACGTTTTTTAAACGTTTCTGGGAAACTGCCCACTTACCCCTCACTTAAGCCAACATTTTGCCCTAAGTGAGAAGTAAGTGTTAATGTTGGCTTAGGGGAGGGGTAGGTGGGCAGTTTCCCCAGGAACGTGTTAATGATCCCTTTTGTGTTTAACTTTAAGGTAGACAGCATTTTTTGTTGTCGACACAAGCTTGCGAAGCGAAACACGAGGGAATAGGGGTAGGATGGTACGCGAATGAACCTTTTTTTTTTCTTGTTCCCGCCATCCATCCCTTCCCTGTGAACCGTGTGAAGAGTGAGTGTCGATACGGGTTTTGACACATGCGTCGATTCCACACATTTATCGATCAAAAGAAGCCAATTAGATAAAACCTAAATATACTGCTTTTTTAAAAGAAGAAGAAGAAAAAGAAGAGAAAGCTTTCAGAAGCCTTTTTTGCGGAAGGCGTGACCAGCGTCAATTTCTTATCGCCCAGCGAAAGAAGTGAAGGACGATCATTCCGCAAAGAAGATTGTTCTGCATGATTCTGAGTGATACCTTTTGAATATTGACTTAAAAAAATTACATTATTCCAGCAAAGGTGAAAAATAACCTATGGAAACTCTTTTTAACAGTACAGGGCCCGCCTTTCCTGTTTTTATAAACAGCTAAACTTAAATCACTCAAGATCAAAAGTGAAAGGGAAAAAAAGGAACGTTTCAAACTTACCACTGTTTATAGTTAACGTTTGAAAATCAAAAATTAAATTGACACCTCGTGCTATACTGTAATCGAAAGAAGACAAATGTCTAAAAGCGTAGAATATGTTCTTGATTCTCTTTAAGCTTAACGTAAGCTTTCAAAAACTATAAAGTTCACCCTGAAAATATTACTTGGGAGCTTCTGCACTGATCGTTTGTACACGTAAATTAAAAATATTAAGGAGTCGCCTATTTTGCTTAAGTATGGAGAAATAGAACAGATAACGTGGGCTAAAGAAACACAAGAATACGCGGCAAAACTCTATCAAGTGTCTTCGTTATTTTGCCTTAATTCTCACGGCAGTTCATTCGTTCAAGTCTTGTTTAGATGGTTTATTTATTTGCAAAGATGTTTTATGAAATAATCAGTGCAACAAAGAACAATTTTAGGTTTTATTTTTAAACAAAATCAAAAATGTTTTAACGTGATTAAAAATTCGATTTGGAAATACGAAGAATTTTTAGACGTGATAAATCACGTACTGTGAGTATTTTGATCAGCTTATTAGCAATTCATCAGCAATCCCCAAAGTACTGCATTTCTCAGTGCTGTTATTGGTTGAAGGTATTGTGTTTAAAAGCGTGTTAAAAATGCAGAACATAAAAAACAACCAAATGGGAAACCATGTGGTGAACTGAAGTTACGTTTTGAAATTGAAGCAAAGGGCGAGTTCAAGCGTCTTCAAGCGAATATTTGTCTTCAAGATGTCTCGATCAAAGAGGATTTGTTGGACAGGTAAATATCTAATAAGAGTAAAATTAAAATATATCTATTGGCATTCCAAGTTCCAAATGAATTGCCAATTGGCGAAAGTTGTTTGCGACGTTTCAAACAGCTTTAACATTACGGCAGTAAACCGTTTGGAGTTCTAGTTGTTATAAAACCATCTTCTTATTGCGTCTTATGATTTTGACCGGCCGACGGTTTTTTAGTTATTTTGGGCTGATTATCTTTCAATGACTACTGTGAGAGTTTTGTCGTTAACGTTCGTTAATTTTTCATCGAATTCAAACTCATTAATGATTCATAAAGAAAATACAAACGAAATTAATGTTTAATGAGTGTTTGGAAATCAGATGAAACACTGTTCATTTTTGCATTCTTAATTTCTCCTTCTAAAATGATTTTGTTTGAGCCGTAATATCAAGCATTCGACAGAGTGTTTCATCACCAGATGAAACACCTCAAAGTTCGTCAAAAATACTCCGCTTCGCGTCGGATTTTCAACTCTCTCATCTGGTGATGAAACACTGCCTCTCATGCCTAATATTACTTAACAAATCTCCACGCTTTGTATGACACGTTCATGCCATCCGTGTGTTGGTTATTCTCATACTCTCATGATTATTTTTCGGTTGGATAAAGGGCGCTTTAAATGAGAACAACAATTCCAAGAATTTAACGAATGAAACAAATTTCGGAGAAAATTTTCCAAAAAATCTGAAATTAAAACTGGAAAGGGACCGATTTCCAAGAATCAATTTTCGAAAATTGGTTTATCTCTTGTCGTTTTCTCTTTCTTTAAGATCGATCGAAAACTATCTGTCACTTAGTGCTCTTTTTATGAAATAGTTATATCAATATCTTTGGTATGAAAACTAGACTTAAAACTTAAATAATTATGTTATTGCTACGTCACCCTGCTAGAAGAGCCAGAAGGCTCTGCCTGAATCACGTCAGACCTTTGAGGTCGCCGCAGCCCGAATTTATGGACTAGTCAATCTTGTTTTCTCTCGCTAGTGCGAGCAATCGTTTTTGACAAACCGATGGCCATATCCGAGCCCTTTGTAGCAAGCGCGATGGTGTTAGGCCTGGGTTCGAAAATATATCCTAGCCTACGCATGCTCAACACAGATATTAGGTAATTCAGGAAGAGTCTTTCTTGAGTACGCCAAAATCGAGAACGCGAAAGAAATGCTCTGCCTTTTGACAATAAACGTTAACTAAGCGACGTCATAACACTAGTCCATTTTCGAGTTCGCTATTACCGCTGAATTAAAGAAGTGAAGATGCATTTTTTACAGCCTTAGCCTCCATCCGAAGTAATATATTCACAAATTTCAACAAGAAAAAGACCTGTTTATTACTCTGTCTATTGTGTATGTTCAAATTTCAAACACTTTCTTGCCAGAATTTCTGAATATTTTACTTTACGTCGAGGCTAACTCTCTATGAATGTGTCGTTGGTGTTTATATTCAGCGGTAATTTTTAATTCGAAACTGGACTATTTCAAATGGCGAAACTTGTTGTAACGAGGTTGGTGATACTGCCCCTCAAGGTCAATTTATGACAGTGGAGGTTCCAATGCAAAAAAAAGACACATAAGATTTTTTTAAAAAAACCTTAAGGGGAAAAACCTTAAACGACGGGATCGTCCAGTGGTATCTCTTCATAAACTGATTGTCTTTCACCGCCTTGTTTGCAGTCCCCTATGAATGAGCCGTCTTCTGAAAAGTAGGCACCATCTCCTCCGTATTCATCGAGACTGTCCGCTTGTGATTCCACTTCGACCCTGTCCTGAATTCTCTTCAGCCATTCCTGTCGTGGATTGATGCTTTTTTCGGGGATCTCTGTTGCAATCTTTTCCTCACCCTTTTCTTTTTCGTCTTCTGCAACTAAGATAAAGGCACGTCGTTATATGATGTGATGTGATGTGATATTTTTAGCGCGATTCGTATACAGTGTTTCAATGTTAGAACAATATTGCAGTTACTCGGAAGAGAAGTCACCAATGGTGCGTTTCCCTGACCCCAAACAATACTAAAACAATGGGAAGAATGACATGTTATTGTTTCCTGCGACCAATTAGGAGAGACTTTACCAGCAGCTTCTACACTACTCTTGCAACCATTCGAAACAATGTCGCAACAATGGTCGCTGCGAATCGTTCCGTGTAACATCTCCTTTAAATAGGCAGATTTAGCAAAGAAAACGCGATGTCATTGACTACTGAGCGCGTAGATCTACATACCGGGTTGACCATTCTCGTCTCCAGAGTCCGAGTGGCTCTGGGGACAAGCCTCATGTGGTCTGGAGCGGCAAATTGAGCACCGGAAGTCTTTTTCAGTCCTTTCCCGCGCTTTTGCGTTCTCATTTGACCATGCTTTGTATTTAATTTGCTTCATCTCCCTAATACTCATACAATTCACTGAAACTGAAGCTTCTCCGAACAATACCGTTTGTCTTTTACAAGCACTCAGAGATTCTATTGGGAAATCGTTCTTTTGCACGTCGAGAACTTAATGAGTTGACCTATTACATATGACTAATGTACAAGTTCAGTAGCAACCGCAGGATTCAGAAAAATATGTCAAGGGACCTGCAAACGTCTTATAGAAATTACAGATAACAATATATCAGAAATATTTCACCGGCAGTTATCTCGAGCGTTTTGATTGGGTGGCCACATTTACCTTTAATGTTCAGGCAGTACTTTCGCTATCATATTCGCCATGTTGCGCCGGCCATATGAAAAGAGGGGCTAAAATGTGCCACACCGTATAACAATGACATCAGGGAGCTTTAGTGAAGGCGTTTTTAAGCCACGCCGTCAATCAAAATTGGGGCCTTTCCCTTTCAACATGCCTTGACGCTATCAAGGATCTCTTGCTAAATATCTTTACTCTTATGGAGACGATCGATATGCCAGAATAATTGAGCAAAAGCATTGCACAAGAACACAACTGAGAAGTCTACTTCACGTACGTCACTCAAAAACATCTTTGCTTTAAGCTCGCTGTTGTAGGTAGACTTACGAAGAAAACCTAAGTAATTTCTGGTTCAAATGAGTCAACACGAGTGTTACCTTGGAGGCTGGAGCTTCGTCTTCGCTTCGAACTCTTGTACAAAATGACTATGATAAGGAGGATTAAGGTGCAAGCGGACAAGATCATCACTATTATGAACCAGTCTTTTCCATAAACCGTAGGGTTACCTCGTTGACCTGAAATAAACGATAATGCGATTTATTGAGTCATAAAAAGCCTGCTTTATTTGTTAAAGGGAACCTCCACTTCAACAAAAAGATAACTTTAAATCACAGGAAATAACTGTTACAGTCAAGTCAATCTAAAATACTTTTAAAGAAAGCGTTTGTATCCGAAAGAAATAACTTTTAGATTCGCCTATTTTTGTTTTCAAATTTTGCGGGCGTCGCCATCTTGAATAATTGTGACGTGTTACGGTTGTCCTATTGTTATTAAACAAAAGCTCTTTGTGTCAGAACAATAGAGCAACCGTAACACGTCACAATTATTCAAGATGGCGGCCCCGCGAAAATTGGAAAGTGAAAATAAGCGATTTGAAAATTCACTTTTCCTGATATAAACACTTTTTTCAAGGACAAATTTCGAACGAATTTATTTATCAACATAATTTTATTCGATTTAAACTTATTCTGTAGTAAGAGTGGAGGTTCCCTTTAAAGTGCCAATGACGTTTTTGAACTTATTGAGGACGAAGAACCAATTGACGCGATTGCTATCGAGGTGTTCGTCTGAGCAACGCTAAGATTATCCGTTTGGAGGAAAATGAAGTACTCTTCCTTTTCCTCTGGTTGTCTTTTAAGATTCAGCGCATTTTTCTGGTCCCCGGGATCGAAACAGGTACATCCCACTCTACAAGCCACAACGAAGTATTCAATGCTTCTCCCAGGCAATTTTCTTTTTCTGCGAGAAACTATCAACACCTTTGAAAGTGGGAAGAAAATCAAGTCTCCTCTCCGTAAAAGCATTCCAAATTTAAAACAGGGTTTCCACCGAGAAAACAGAGAAAATACTTCACCTAAGTCTCTTCTCAGAAAAAACACCCGCTGACTAAGATATCCGAGGACTCTGGGGACGAGTTTCCGGATTTATTATATCTTGTTACTTACTGCTGCCCACAGGATCCGGCTCCGGTCTAGCTTCAATGACGTCACTCTCTGGACTTGTACCTACGAAGTTTTTCCCTACAGTTTTGAATTCATAAACGTCTGTATCCAGACTGTTGACTTTAACCAGTTGCGTACTAAAGTGATCCATCCACTGGGTCTCCAGAAATTCTCCTCCTTCCACTGTTAGAACGAGAAAGGAAATAAGTTAATTACATTCAAACCCCGCTCTACGAACACCCGCCTAATACGGACACCTTATTATTACGGACAGCTTGCTTTGTCCCTAGGAAAAGAAAGCCCTTACATTTTCTCTAAATTTAACCCGTTTAATACGGACACTTTCTATACCTGCACTCAGGATCCGTATTAACAGGGTTTGAGTGTATTGAACAAGTAAAGTAAGTAGATCGCAAACAGAACATTCTTCTGGTCGACATTTCCAAGTTGGTGACCTCTTTAAAACGGACATCCCTTCAACTGGAGATCCTCCTCTCTTAAGGCCGACGCCCTTCAAAAGTGCACACCCTCTAAGGGTGAAACTTTTCCACCGGATCAGGGGAAATAATCCTCAAATGGACATTCCGTCAACAAGGAATTCCCTTTAAGGTTGACACCCCTGGAATAGAGACTTTATGAGCACAACCTTCTGTACGGGAGGCGGGGTGAACCTCTAGTGTTCGTATTAACCCTTTCACTGCCAAATTTAGCCGAAAGTAAATTTCGACCAAATTTCCAAATTTCATTTTGTGAAATTTTGAAAAACAAATAGCACCATGTGTAAGTACAGGCAGAGAGTTTTCATTTGAATGGTCACATCATAGGATTTGGTCTGCAGACTCAAAAGTTAGAGTCACCTTACAAAACTCCATCAAACACTCTGGCAGTGAAAGGGTTAATGACGTCTGTTTCTGGGCCGGGGAATTGTTACCTAAAATGATGGCGTTTATTATCTGATCTGTAAGAGAAAATCATCACCGGTACAATGTTTTGACAGCACACGGGTCTGAATCCTTTCGCAATGTGTTGAATCGCTTGATTTCTTCTGAGTGCTTTTGCCAGTTAGCAGTTGCCTGTTGGCTGCTGCCATTTTTTTCTTTAAATATTGCATCTACACTCCAGTGTGTAGATATGAAACCCATGAAGATTATAGTAGTATTTCTTACCTTGTTTCCGGTATAACACCTTGAATTGATGCGTCCATCCTCCACCGATTCCATAGTTGTACTTCAAACTAACAACGTGTTTTCCTGTTTCAACCACTGTTGGCCTGTCTGGTTTTGCCGGGGCTGAAAACATGCACAACAAATCACATAAATTTTTAATTCTTACTCCGCTTGCAAGCGTTAAATAAACTTTTAAACAAAAGAAACAGAGCGAAAACATCAGTGGCCGTTGCGGTTCAAAGACGATACTGTTACCAGTGATATTATGTGCTAATAGGGCTGCTTAAGGTTTAAGCATTGTTATAGCCATACAATGCGAGCTATAATTTGCCGGGTGAAATCTAGCCAAATGCTTTTTACACTTTTCACTTGTTTCAGGCAAATTTGGATCATTACTATCTTTTAAAAAAGGTCACGCCATTTCTTATGGCATTACGTGTACATAAGAAAAGTTTAGCCGACTGGGAACCATATGAAAATGGTTTATCTTAAGCGGATCGAAAAGTGAAGCCATGAAAGTAACCATCGTTTTAAAGGGATGACGCCTAGGGGACCCATTTGTTAGTCACTCACTCACCCATTCTTTTAATTGTTCTTGTTGTCTCTCTGGAACTTTCACCCCATCCTTTACTTGTCCTTGCTTGTAGCACCACAACATAGCTTGTCTCAAATGTTAAATTACCCAGCAATTTCTTGAAGGTTCCGCGTCCCACCGTTTCCATGGGAACAGAGACGTTATTGGGAGAGGAACTGTTGTATTCGGCATAGCCCACTTGATAGGCTGTGATGATACCGTTGGGTTCTTTAGGCGGTTTCCATGTGACTAGAATGAATTGTCCAAACGGGTGTAATCTCACATCCGATGGTGGACCAGGTTCTAAAAATTAGAAGGTTAGCATTGGTTCAGGGTGTTGAGAGACTAAGTTTACCTAAAATTATCAAAATTAACCATACGGTATTACCGTAAATCCTCTGTTAAGCACTCCCTTCTTTTAAATAAATCCCCTCTCTAATAACGGCCCTCCCCCCCTCCTTTCAGGGGTAGAAATTTATTAATACCCCCACCCCCCACTCTTTAAGCCCCTTACATAACAGAATCTATTAATTGATCACGACTGTAAAACTTCATGTGGACTGATTCGGTACGATTTATTTACCCGCTGGAAGTTGTGATTTGTTTTTAATCGGCTGTATGACCTCCAAGTCCCAGATTTATGTTGCTGACCGGGAGCTTTTCTACTTTACGTTCTAGTTTTTTATGGAGAATTGATACCGTTACCTTCGCTAAATTTAATATGCCTCCCTCTGAAATAAGCCCCCTCTCTGTTAGCGCCCCGCCCCCACCCCGCCCTCAAACGTACTTGAGATCAGGCAGGCAAGAGAAAAGCTATCAATCCCCCCACTCCCCTTCCCCCCCTCCACTTTCGACTACTGCCGCGCTAGCAGGCCATAAGTAAATCATTCCTAGTGACAACAAGTGACAACTATTACGTTATTATTTAGAATGAGAATAGCCTAGTCTGTGGCTTTAAGAAAAATATTAAACCACTCACCACCCTCCAAAGTTTCGATGACTAAAACATCGCTCAGTGGTCCCTCGCCACCATTGTTGAAAGCCGTAATAATCACTTGATAGTTAGTGACCGGTTTAAGCCCAGTCAGAGTGGCCTTTTGCGTTTTTGCGTCAGTAACAGTAATGACATCCGCGACACTTGGAATGGTTTCCCTCCGTCGTCTTCTCGAGCTCACAGTGCGGCTTTCGCCCCAATAATAAATCTAAAGACAAAGGAGTTGAAAAAAATATGGAAAATTTGAAATTGGCTGATTGTATTTGTTCTTGATTCATCCTAACTAAAGAGGTTGCAGTAGACAAGCAAGAAGCGCGAGAGCTGGAGGAAAGCGAGAAGTGTGAGAGGGAGATGATGGGAACGAGCGCAGAGCGCGAGCGGAGCTTGATGGGAAGGATGAATAATTAATTCAAGTATGCCCAAAAAAGTGATCGCCAGCGACTGGGGACGAGGCAGCTAAAGAGGTTCGTTTTAAAAGACTAGAGGCCGATTGTGACGTCCAGTCGTTTGATATGTAAGGACACAGGTGACCCAAGCTCGACACTGATGTTTTACCTTTGAAATATAAGGAATGTAAAGGGAAAAAAGATTATTTCTGTGACCTACGATTGTGAAAAGATTTAAGTAAGATCAGCTAACTTCACTTAAGCTGTGTTTCTTCCTTCCGGTGTGGTTCGCGAGCCGATTTATAGCCATTTTATGGGGTTTACTGGAGCCCTCGTTCAACCGTCAGTTAAGGTATAGATAAAGTTGTGTGAAAATATTCTTAAAAGAGCAGACTAAAAAATTTGAAAGCTCTTGACCGGTAGTTTTGATGAGTGACTTGATCAAAATAACTTCAGGTTAGACGAGCCATTTTTACCTTGTATCCATCGACACTTCCTCTCATTACAGTCACTGGTTTCCAGGCTATGGTGGCGGTGGTTGCTGTAACTTCCTCCACATTTGTGCTTTCGGGTTTTTCTGCCGGTGCATTCTGACCTGAGAAGGCGAATTTCATTGGACATTCCGGTCCTAGTCCTTCGTGGTTACCTGCACGGATCGTAAATTCCCAGAGCTGGTAATAGCCGGCGTTTGTAACTGGGAAGTCGTTTACCTTCGGATCGCCAATCTTTTCTATTCTCCAGTCATTGAGGTAACCAAAGTTGACTTTTCGGAACTTCACGATGTAGTAAAAACCTGGAGCATCCCATTCTGTCTTCGGTAAAGGCTGGAAATATAAAATATGTCTCAATAAAGAAGGGTAAAATAAGAAACCGCCCCAGTGTAAGGTAAAACGGATTCTGAAATCTGGAAATATCAGGAATCTTGAGCTTTGGAATAAGGAATGTTGCTCAAGGAATCCGGAATTCCGCTAACGATTGGAATCCGAAATTCAGGTTCCACTGACAACAAGGAACCTAGAATCCAGTACCTGGAATCCGGAAACCAAGACTACCTTTGATTACCTCACATAGACGCCAAGGAAATGAGAAATCTATATCGGATCATTATACGACGTTTCTGGGAAACTGCCCACCTATCCCTCCCCGAGCCAACATTTTGCCCTGAGCGAGAAGTAAGTGTAATGTTGGCTTAGGGGAGGGGTAGGTGGGCAGTTCCCCAGAATCGACTCTTTATAACGGCAGGCGCATCCTACGTAATAGATAACATTATTGCACAATTATCACCTGGGAAACTGCCCACCTACCCATCCCCAGAGCCAACATTTTGCCCTAAGGAGAAGTAAGTGTAATGTTGGCTTAGGGGAGGGCAGCTTCCCGGAATCAACTCTTTATAACGGCAGGCGCATCTTACGTAATAGATAATATTATTGCACAATTATCAGCTGAGATGCAGTCTTAACTAGTACTCATAGATGTTTCGATACTTACATCCCACGTAATAGAAAGTTCATTTGCTTTTGTAGCAACTCCACGCACGTCGCTGGGATACTTGCTTGGTGCTGTAATTCAATAAAAAAAATAAGTACAAAGAAAAGGCGAAAAAAAATCTTTCCAATATATGTAGTACAAACATTAACCACAAAGGACTGCAAAGGACTGCAGACGAATATGCCGAAGAACGTAGGATCTATAAAGACCTGATCAGCAAAAATGACAGGTAGACATATTAAATTCTGCAAGCAGAATACTGCAATGCTGATCGTACTACGTGAAAATTAACTCTGCAAGACATCAACACGACACCGAAAGAACTCAAAACATAGCGGAATTGTAGCCATGGACAGCTGTTTCCTTCAGGGTTTTCTCTTCAAAAAATTCGGTGATGATTATGATCAATAGTGCCAAGGTGTATGATAATGATGGTGATGATGATGATGATGATGATCATCATCATCATCCACATCATCATCATCATCATCATCATCATCATCATCATCATCATCATCATCATTGTTATCGTCATCATCATCATCATCATCATCATCATCATTGTTATCGTCGTCATCATCATCATCATCATCATCATCATCATCATTATTATCGTCGTCGTCATCATCGTTATCACCATCGCCATCGGAATGACCATCTGTATCATCATCGTGGTTTTTATTGCCATCGTAATAGTGCTACTAAATAGTTTATTTAGGCTAATCACGCTATTTGAATCACAAGATCAGGTATTCAAATTTTGCAAAAAAATTTTGGGTGTGGTAATGTATGATTAAACAGATAATGATTTGAAACAAATTTGAACCAAGTCTTTCAGGAGTATACAAAGTTTTCACTTGGACGGCTCGGTCCAGCGTCGTTTGCCGTTCTCACACGGAAGCGAAGAGAAGACCATCCAGGAAGCGTCAACGAAACAGATGTTATATCAGGATTGGTGATGTTGTAGACTATTTTGAAGACGTTTGGTTCATGGTTCGTTTCCTGCTCGATCAGGTAATGAGTGGTTATTTTGGCGCTATTAGAAATAACAGGGGTCCATGAGAGGTTTGTGCGTCTGTTATAACATTCTGTTAACTCAATACCAGTTGGAGGCAATGGAACACCTGATAGGGTAAAGAAAAAGTGTTACGCTGAAAAGTGTGGTTTTCCGCACGAAAGAAGCGGAAAACGTTTTTCTCACACACGGCTGGGAGTATGGGTTCCTGTGTACAAGGGTTCGTCAGGTCACATGGTGTTTCAGAGATGAGTTATTTCCTGATCTACCTCTCCCACCCTTCCTTCACTTGTTTCTTTGCGTTGTTTTAGAATTTAAAGCAGTTGCGCACTTGTTGTTGTCCTTGTATCCAGTCTCACTTTCTTGTCAGCCGGTCACTGGCTCTTTTTGTGCTGTAATACTAGTGATTTGTGCATCCTTGTCCGATAGTCTACTCCGACAAATTTATGCATGGCTTTGTTAAATTTTTCATTTTTTTGCTTCGTTCTTTATTGTTATGCTTTTGTACAGTATTGTAAAGTGAAGACAATACAATGCAATGCATGCAGAAATTTTTTGGAGTACTGGATAACCCTCGTTTGTGGTGCTGATATAAAGGCTGCATGGTCGGCTTGGCATGGCTCCCAGTTGTGTGTGAGAAATGTCTTTTCTGTCTATGACCCCGGTTTTTTACGTAGTAGTTCATAAATGCAGTACAGTACAAAATATTCGACTGGTCCCTATGCGATAGCTTTTATTTTACAGAATATCGAGTGTTTCAAGAGGTCGCGTATTCATGTAGAAATTAATGCCAAACTTTCTCTTAAATGAATCTCGGTTTCTCTAAAGGGACAGTGTATTCTGTTCTTCTTGAAAAAATAGAGACAACATTGATAAAAAAAATATATTAATTACAAAAACGCTACAGGCTATCCCAACTTTCAGCAAAAACCAATATACAATGCCTCTTAATAGAAGAGAATCGCTTCCACGCATCGTCATTGTAAAGGTTTAGTATTGAGGTATTTCGAGAAAGGTTGTCGGAAAAAATTTGCACGCCACAATCCCGAAAGGTAATATGGGATATGATCAATACACTGTATCTGACACTGTGGCTGTCGAACCTACTTTGCTTGCTTTCCTTTCGCAAACACGTGGCCATGGCCTCTTGCTCATTCATTCAAATTTCTCTGAAAAACAGTGAACTCAAAACCACCCACAATACCTTTCGGATTGTCGCTTGCACTTTTCCCGACAACCTTTCTCGAAATAGAGGTTCGCAGTATACTTCACCTGTAATAGAAACAATCGCCGAGGCACTATCTTCAGATCCTCTTGGTTTAGGCGTGTACACAAGACAAGTGTACACACCAGTCTCTTTAAAAGTGATGTGTTTTATTCTCAAAACATTTTCCTCTTCCAACCAAACGATGTTGAGGTTACCAATTATATCCGCACCGTCCCGCTTCCAAACGTAGATCAACTCTTGCGAAGGATCTGCAGTGGCTTTGCAATGTAGATCCACGCTAGCGCCCTCAGAGACTGAATGATTTTTTGGCTTGACAACAATCTGCGTCCTCTCTATTATAGAAAAACAATAAGATACCCCGTTACTAAAGGGCTGTAGATGAGTAATTATATCAAATCCAGTGACCGGCCAAGTTCGACTATACTAAATATGCATCATTACTAACGCTTTCATTTTTATAGAACTCTAATCTTTCTTCGAGCCCAACAGCTACATGTACTTTGCAGTTTGGATAGGATAAGAAAAAGATGCTGTTTCGCCCCATTTAAGGACTTCGTATTGCCGAACCAGGGAATTTTTTTCTTGTGGGCTTTGAATATCTGGAACACAGCTCAAGGAATCCAGAATCCCTCCCGGATTTCCTTACTTGGAGCGAAATCGTTTACTGTGGAGGTTTGACAAAAAAAAGGCCTAGAGCGCGGTTTAATTTTGTCAAATACCTGTTAAAATTGGCCTCGGTTCTCACCATTTAATTTCAATTTAATATCAACATTGTAATTAGAAGCAGCAAACTCCCTCTTTCCTCTTACCAAGCACAATTGTATTAGCCGTCGCATTTGCTGTCCCCAGGTAGTTTTCAGCCATGCAAGTATATCTGCCTGAATTTCCATCTTTAACGTCGCTTATTAGCAAAGAACCGTCTGCATCTAAAGTGTAGCTGTCATTTTGTCCATTTCCAATGGGTACACCATCTTTGAACCATCTAAAAGTTGGATATGGTTCTGCAATAGGCTTGCAGGGAAGCCGAGCCTGGGTGCCCTTGAACAGGTAAAATGGACCAAACGGTAGATCAAATGAAGGCTTCCAAACTGTAATGAAAATATGACTTAATTGAGCAATGAATTCGTTACAATTCTAAATGCATCTTGGTATAAGAGGTAAATAACAATTTAGAGGTTCTAGAGAGGTAGCATATCTGCATAGTAATTCTTCGTCTACCATTCCTGGTCGAATTTGAATTTGGAATTATTAGTGACCCAAAGAAAGGGGAAGGAGAGAACCAACAACAAACTCAGCCCTCATATGACGCCCGACGAAGGGATTTGAACCTGGGCCACATTGGTGCAGGAGGCAAGTACTCTAACCACTGATATTCCTCGCTCTCAAAATTGGAGGTGCTTTTTACAGGGGGGTGGATAGAGGAGAGGGGGATATGGTAATGCGATGTACCTCTGGGAGTCAGGCATTTGGCTTAGAGTACATCATCAGGTCAGCTACATACTGCACTGTGCCTGACACATGTGTGGTTTGTGATGTCAGATCACATCTGTAATCTGTGATGTATTACAAACAAACAAGTATAAAGCTGATGCGTGAATAATTCAAAACAGTATGTTTAGCAAACAACCTCACATTATGCTTAGAATATGGATGCTCACGGTGGAGAGGTAGCCTCCATTGATAGGATGTGTCTTAGCCTGTCTCTGGATTGTGTCTCTTATATTACGTGGGTCGCTGTTTCCATCTTGTTTAACATCTGATTTGGTTTTTGGATCAATTGAGGTGTCTGGGTAACTGTCCACCTACCCCTCCCCTAAGTCAACATTAAAGCTTACTTCTCACTTAAGGTAAAATTGTGACTTAAGGTAGGGGTAGATCAGTTACCCACTCGTAGAAACCTCAATTGATCCTGGTTTTGTACAGAACCAGGAACCTAACCTTACCCCATGTACCACATGTAAGGAAATCCTAGACAATCTTGAATTCTGGATTTCACTCTGTGGATTCTGGATTCCAGGTACTGGATTCTGGATTCAATAAGCTAAATTCCAGGTTCCAAAGCCCAGGGTTTCAGATTCCACCAGCAAAAATTGCCTAGCTTCCGGATTTTACAAAAAACCGGAATCCAGATTTCCCAACACGGGGCGAAAAACCACAATAGACCTGTTAAAACTCTTCGCCACTAATCGTAACCTACCATCGACTATAATTTTCAACGATGCTTGATCTCCATCCCCAGCGCTGTTAAATGGAAGACAGGAGTATAAACCACTATGTTGAAGCCAGAGATCGAACACACCACTACCGCTGCTGCTGAGAAGTTCTTGGCCCCTGTAGAATTTATATCCGTCAGGATCCGGACGCGCATGCGTGGTACAGTTGAATGTAACAAAGCTGCCAAATTGTACAGGTTTGGTGATATCTGTGTTGATTTTCAGGCGGGTCTTCTCTGGTTTGACTAAAACGGAGAAGAAAGGAAAACAGCTTGAATATCGATCTATTAAGTTTGAATAGCAGCAGCCATAGAACGATGGAATTTCTTTCCAGCCTCTTCTTCGTCTTCTTGGAACTTTTCTAGCGAAAATGGACTCCATCAAAAATCTAAGATAGCAGCAAAGTTAAGTTATGACGCCTTAATATCGCGTCATACGAAGCCATCAAGACACTTAAAATTCCTTATCTTACTTAACCTACTGTGATTTTCCGCCCTTGTAATATATAGAGGGCCCCACTGAAATACGTCATTGCGAATTGGGCCCCATCCCTCTCTATCTCTCTCTCATTGTATGAAATTTTAACGAAACAGTGTACTTACGGTGCACAAAGAGATGAGCACTTGAATTTTCTGCCTGGCCCAATCCGTTATCAGCCGAACACCAGTATTCTCCACTCTTATTCCTGTAAGCCACAAAGCTCAGGGTATCTCCTGAAGCCACAGTTATCCCATCCTTAATCCATGTTACCTGTGGGACTGGATTTCCCGTGGCAGAACACTTGAACGTCGCAATTCCCATTTCAATAACTGTTTGGTCATTTGGTTCGATGATAAAGCTCGGTAAAACTGTAAAATAAAAAAAAAATAGCTAGATATTAAACCTACTACTTTTTCCCTTAGTAACCACCGTTTTCTAAAGAGCTTCTTAAAGACGTTTTAGTCAACGTTTACGTGTACGTATTACTTTTGGTTCGACTTTAAGGTCTAGCGACTTTTTTGACTGCAGGTCATTTGAAGACACATTCAGAAATATTAACGTCGGACGAAACGACTGAAGTGCGACGTCCAGCCAAGTCAAAAACGCCAAACCTTAGTAGTGATGTTTGACATTAGCTTTTCAGGCGAATGATCCCAGATGCGCAGCATTTCTTGAGAAGTATAGGATGATTGTTAGGCAGTATTCCCATACCCCTGTTAGAGGAATCTTCATTTCTTTACAAGACAGTATAGGTGAAAAAGTCTTAGACTTGAAGTCCTATATTGCAAGACAGTGGAAAGGGTGTGTTTAAAACTGTTATGACTGTACTTCTTAGGATCATAAGGTTTATAAGTCTATTCCACCTGCTGAACTCGTGTTAGAATTTTTCACTTACATTGAACTTCAAGGTTTGCACTTGCATTAACAGTTAAATCCAGTCCATTGTCTGCTGTACACCAGTATTGTCCAGAATCATTTCTATTCGTCAAAAAGCTTATTATGGCTCCACTCTCTACAATCTTGCCATCCTTGGTCCATGTGATGTTTGGAGTCGGATTACCAGTAGCGTTGCAAATGAACTTTACTTGTGAAAATTCCATCGCAGTCTGGTCAGTTGGTCGAGTTGTCAAACTTGGTGGGTCTGTGAACATTTATAAAGTAAACTAGTGGCCTTAGCTCAAACGGGTCTCCGGTAGCTTAGTGGTAGAGCGTCTGGACTGGTAACCAGCTTAGGATTAGATCCCAGAGGCCTAAACCCCCTTGGACACTTTATGAAGTGTACACAACCTAGTATCCTTATCGCTTCGGTTTCGATCACTGGCAATAATACTGATTAGGGATAAGCACTGAAAATAGTGATTAGGGTTAAGTACTGACTATGGTGATAAGGGTTAAACACTGACTCCAAACGGTTATCTTCTATTTAGGCATTTTTTATGTATCATAACGAACACAAATAACCGCGAAATTTCGATCGAGAAGGAGCCATTGGCCATGTTTGTCCTAAGTCATTTTGGGGCTCGCTCAAACTGGGCCTGTGTTTTAATCAGAGAGTTCACGTGATGCAGCCTAATCACTACACGTTATTTATACTTACATTGTACATCGACATGAGCGTTAGAAATTGCAGTTGCATTCAGAAGATTTTTGGCCTTGCACATGTACGTTCCAGAGGCATTCCGCCATGCTTTCAACATCAGGTTTTCTCCAGTGCCGATAGTTATTCCATCTTTCATCCATAATATCTTTGGAATTGGATTACCAATGGCAGCACAGTGCAATTTCACCTCCTCATTTTCAAGGACTGTCTGATTGGACGGCCGTGTGATTATCTTTGGTGGAACTATAAACAAACAAAATAAGAATTCAATGAAAGTGGTATCAACCATCCCTATTTAAAACTTTTGCCTGTCCCATAGCCTTCGTATTAGGCGCTCGGAAGGAGACCTAAGTCATGTGCGTAAGAGGAAACGGGCGCGTGAGGGAGACACGCGTGTCGCCTTGCGTGTCTCCTTCGTGCGACCCGTTTTTCTCTCGAAGCGCATGCTAGGCAGGCTCCCTGGCTCAATGCGCTTTATACTAGAGCATTAAAGTTAATACTTACATTGTACGTCGAGACTGGTACTTGCATTAACTGTTGAATTTAAGCCATTTTCAGCAGTGCACCAGTATTCCCCAGACTGATTTCTAGAGGTTTTAAAAGTCAGCACATTTCCCGAGGACACAGTCTTGCCATCCTTGATCCAAGTTATCCTGGCGGGTGGGTTTCCTGTGGCATTACAGTGGAATGTTACTGAGGCACCTTCGATGATGGTCTTGTCTTTAGGTGCTGATATTATGGTCGGCGGAACTGGAACAAATAGATTCATTAGAAAAATGATAGAGGTCAACATTCTCGTTTTCTAGTATGCTTGGATATAAAGAGATCGTTTAACATTGGTGAGATACAACGAATTATATTTTCGTTAACACCATTTGAGGTCAAAAGTGACGTCATCTGTCCAACATCCATCGAAATGACTGGAAAGTTTGACTTTGCTTCCGTTTCATATTTTTCCTTCGGCCTTGTATATTTCACGACTTGCACTCGTTCGAGTTCCTCCTGAATGTCAGTCAAGTTGTGCCAGGAAATTAGGCTTATCCCCTTTCCCCGTATTATTCCCCGTATTATTCCCCGTATTATCGAACTATGTTCGCGTATCCATGAATGTGTCAAAAAAAAGGGTGCTCTGGTTACTCCACGAATACGGCCACCGCTGATCCCTCTTCGCTGGGGACAAACGGGCTACATGCATTTAGTGGCCCATACAATTCTACTTACATTGGACATCAAGTTCAGCACTAGTATTGACACTGATGCCCAAACCATTTTGCACAGAACACCAGTACTTTCCCGAAAGTTCTCGCGTGGCTTGCAAGTTCAACTCCTGCCCTTGATCAACAGTCCGCCCATCTTTAATCCACACTATTTCTGGAGGAGGGTTGCCAGCCGCATCGCAACGAAACTTTACTGTCTCGCCTTCAATGACTGTCTGATCCGTTGGTTCTGAGGTGAAACTTGGTGGATCTACAAGAGCAAATAAATCAATAGGTTCTAGATATTAATAAATAAGTAAGGCACAATTTAAAAAAAGTCAAAGTTAAACAGTGCAGTGAAAGCCCGAGGGAAGGGGGTGGGGTAATCGACGTGAGCCGCTGAGGGTTTGAAACCCTGACACACTGTGGGACAAAAAAATTCAAATACATACCCTGTTTAGGACAACACCCTCAATTTTATTACCTTGTTTTGGACAAACAGCAAAATGCACGCAGTCTTGTTTTAAAGCCATTTATTTTCAATTGCAATAGAGCAAATACACGTAATAGTCAATGCTTTTGTACACTGGAGTACAAACAAACTTCATCAAGCAAATCAAATCAATCCTGCAGCAGACAATACCCTGTTTGCAATTAAGACGGACTCCCACGAAATGATACACCTGATTATATACACGCAGGAAATTATACACCTGTTTAGGACAGACTCGCACGAAATCATACACCCTGTTTAGGACAGAGAGGACAAAAACCATACCCTGTCCAGCGGTAAGCCCCTGCACCCCCTCCCCTCCTCCATCTCCGCAAAGAAGAATTTTTAGAACAGGCTTTCCCGCGAAAATAATTTGTTTTACTAATCGTGTCCTGGTAATAACACCTAATAAATGTTGCGCAACTTACACTGAACATCGAGAGACGCACTCGCATTGATAGTTGAATTTCTACCACTGTCTGCTGTGCACTTGTATTCTCCAGACTGATTTCTATAAGCCACAAATATCAGCGTGTTTCCCTCTCCTAGTATCTTCTCTTCCTTGGTCCATGTTATCTTTGGAGGTGGGTTTCCTGTGGCATTACACTGGAATGTTACAGTAGTGTTCTCGATGACTGTTTGGTTAGAAGGTCTTGTGGTGAAGCTCGTTTCAACTGAAAAAGTAATAAAAAATTAAGATTAAAGCGACAACGTTAATGCAGGAGCCCATCACTATGATAACTATAACGATAACGATATCTATAACCAAAATCTCGCAAAACAATTTTCGCCTCATGTAATCCAGAATCCGGGAAATTTTTGCTTTTGGAATCCGGAATCCGGGAAAATTTTACTCTTAGAATCCGGAATCCTTGGCTTTGGAATCTGGAAAACAGCTCAAGGATCCCGGAATCCACTAAGGATTGGAATCCAGAATCCAAGTTCCACTGACAAAGACTGGAATCCAGTACCTGGCCTCCAGAATCCACGGAGTGGAATCCAGGATTTAAGGCTGTCTTGGATTCCCTTGCACAGGCCGAAAATCCGATCACGGCACCCAGACAAGTGCCCCGCTAGCTTGCTGAGAACTTAATTCATCCACCTATAATAACTATTTTTATATACACTTATCCTTTATTTGCAGAAATTCAAGGCTTACTATACCTACTACAGCTGTGATGCTCAATACCCACACTGAGGCAAACAAAACCCACATTCTGAAGTAGCACTTTTTCTGCTGAAGAAAAAAGAAACAGATGAGGTAAGCATGATAAGATTGTTGATTTCGCCTTATGCAAGAGAATCCATGACAGTCTTTATACGTTATCAAACTCCCCTGGTTGGTAATTATTCGTTGTAGCGACGGGCTGATCACGACGTCTCGCAGTAAGTGAACCACAATTACTTATGAAAGTTTTAAAAAGATTGAACGAGAAATACAACTCCTCTTTATGATTAGCCCTATTGACAGAGTCAAATTAATTGACCCTTATATTTCTCACTGAATATTTCATCGTACGTTGGTATTTTTTAATTGAGACTGCGAGACTAGAGAACCGAGAAAAAAATCAATAAATAAATAAAAACAGCGCCGTGTCCCGAGTTTCAGCACCAATTCTATAATAGGCAATCTTTCTTGAGGTGCCTAAAGAAAATATGCTCCCCGGTTCTGAATCGAACGACCGAATGTTTAAAGGAATGAGCTACTTCGGGTTAACATCAACAGACGCTTATTAATTAAATATAAGTACGATGACGAAAAAAATTCGCAAAAAACTGTGCGTAACGATTTCAATTGATCTTGAATAACTCTAAATCTACGCCAGTTCTATTTCGTAGAAATGAAAAAATCAAAATGGCGGTTAATTTAGGATGCTAAATAACTTAACCTTAAAGTCCTTAAAATTGGAAGCTTATTAATCTTTTAAATCTAAAAAAAACACTTTACCATTACTAGGGTGTTTTTACGGCTTCAAAAACAGTCTGAAAACTCACAATTTCACAGATAAATGTTTGTGCAACCCTGATGGTAACCGGCGATATAATAACACTTAGACGCTTCACCGTGGGAATAACCTAATTGGCTTAGCAGCATTGTAAACTGACTAATAAACATTGGGTTATAACCGCCTTGTCTTTCGTTAGCTTAACAAATACCAATTACTTACTGTATTTACGAAATGTACTACTGTCCCGATATTGCTGACTTGTAGACGACCAGCTATACTATTCCTTAAATGTAAGCTCCTTTTCACATGATTCTGATTTATCATGAAGCCACGCGACAAAAAGAACCACCAAAAGGGGTATTAAATCAAAACTTATATTGTTCGCTGTAATGGTTAAAATAACAGGAAACGTACTTGATGTAGCTGGATTAGAAGAGGGATAAAAAAGGGGCGACAATGATTATAAAATCTGTAAAATCTTTTCCTAAAAGACTCCACACTACGATAGTGTTTGCGGCCACCAAATGTTTTGTCTCAGTCAGCAGCTTTATATCACTAATTCCGAAAGATATCCTGATTTTAAAAAGATTTCCTTTGATGAAAATCGGATAAATGTCCAAAAACCAAAGTTGATATGTTGAATGACCATATCTTCGTATCCTAGTCACGAGCACTTTATTGAAATACTTGACAAGAGGCCTTCGGACAATAAGATGGGTTGTCCACTGAGAAAGAAGTTACTTATCAAAAAAAGAAAAAAAAAGAGAGAAAGGAAAAAACAGCTTTGTAACAAACAAAGTATCCCAGGTAAACATTAGAGATGAACTTTGTTAAGCCGGGATTATGCCGGCTTAAACGTATTCCTTAACGGCAATGAATTTTTTTCGTTTTTGTTGGTTTGTGTTAGTGTTTTTTATTATTGTCACAGTGTTTAAACCGTTTTCAGCGGTTGTTTCTATTTTTTGTTGAATTAGGGGAGTTATATTGTTTCCACTGTCTGAATTTTCTGAATTTGGCCAAATTTCGTGACGTAGCGTCTCTAACAAAACTCCGATTTGAGACACAGCCTTCCGAGTGGGGAAACGACCACTCCCTTTTGGAACCCCCTGCAGCCCATAAAAATGACTTATTTTTTTTAGCAAGAAAGGATAAAGATCTTGATTTTATTCGGAAGCATTAGAATGCTGCCTTGTTATGGGGTGGGGGACCCCAGGTTGGTAAGGTAAACCGCTTAGGTGGGGTAACCCGCCTGTCCATATAATCACTTGTTTTAATTTGATCACGTTTACATGATCGGTGGGATGACCCGCCGTGGGTTACCTCACCTATGTGGGGTCCCCCACCATCATGTAAACAGTCCCTCAGTCTATTCCTCGGGCCGACTATTTAACTGTGCGGCCCACAAATCAAAACAACACGACTCTGCACGTGCAGCACACGTTTTTGTACATTTCTTTGTGTTCACTGCACGATTACAACGTGAAATTCCTTCACGATTTAATGGAAGGCGCAAGCACGCCACAACGATTTTTTCTTTCTCCCTCTAAACTTGAGTTCAGTCTCCAAGAAATTTATATATTTAAAAGCTCCCTGATGTGTCCTTTTCCGCGCTCGAATCTTTGCTGGCCTCCTATTGGCTAAGAACTGATTTAGTACTTAGTCTCTTCTCGGTTTGCAACGCCTGGGCGATATTTTGTTAAAATGGCGGCCATCGAAGATGCTGTTTACTTGACTTGTATCTTCCCACTACTATACTCTTTTCGCCCCCGAACGAAGGACAAAAAAAAAAAAAAAAAAAACAGGCAAAATGAGTTTTGAAAGAGGATGTGGATTTAGACGCCTGGGCAGGAAATTTTTGGGAAAATCAAATAAACAAAGCAGAGGGTTAGTAGGGTCGAAGAAAATTTGTACTCTTTCAAAGCATTAATTTTGTCTCTTTGACTATTAAAATGATTCGCAGTAGTTAACTCGAACCAGAATTCAGGCTTTTGATGACAGTAAAGGCCTACCAACAAAGTTTGAAAGAAGCCAATCTTTTGCCAAAATTTAATATACAGTACAAACACCAATGTAATGTAGGATCAGCTCCATGTAAGGCTAAGGGAATACGGATTCCGGATTCCGAGAAATTTTGCTTTTGGAATGCGGAATCCAGGAAAATTTTGCTTGTGGAATCCAGAACCATGGGTTTTGGAATCCGGAATACAGCTCAAGGAATCCACAATCTGACTAACGATTGGAATCTGGAATCCAAGTTCCACCATCAAGGGACTGGAATTGCAGGCCTGGAATCCGGAATCCATGGCTTGAAATCCGCAGTCCTAGACAATCTTGGATTCCCTTACATGGGGTGATAGGATACAATGATAAAACCTGGTAAAACTACCAGAAATGTAAGAGATCAGTAGAGTTAAAGGCAAATAATGGGTCTTTTAAACTCGATGTTAGCAGTGTGCTTTTACATGTGTGATGGTTTAAAGGTTTAAAGGCTTGTTTATAGTGGAAAGTGCACTTATCTTATCCAGCTAGTTTACATGCACTCCGCTCGAATACTTAGAAACAAACAATTCAAATACAACATAACAGGATTAAAAACCCCAAATGGGGGGAGGCAACCAGTTGGCTTTTTACAAGGGTGGCCGAGGATTTGAACTCGGGACGACCAAGAGCAAATCCAGCAAGTTGCCAGAGGGTAACTTGAACCTGGAACCGCCGGATTGTGAGTCTGATGTGCTGACCACTCAGTTGTTTGAATAATAAGAAAATTTTGTCTTAAGTGAGAGTTCGGATAAAAAAAATAAACTTCTCATAATGTATAATCATGCATTAATTTATGTATCAATGGAAAAAGTCGCAGCAAGTCCAACAAATGTCCTGCAATTTTTTGCAATAAAATCCGTTATTATTATTGTGGATAAATTTACTCTTTTGTGCCTGAGTTGCCTAAAAATTGGCTTTCTAGCAAACCTAGATCATGCTATTTCTTGTATAATTTATTTACAAAGTTGTATCCCATAGTTTTTGCTTCAAGTAGGTCATGTTTCTGAGAGCAACAATGGACCTGGTATGTAAGCAAAAGTAGAGATTCATAAGCGTAATGATTTTAACATCTTTGAAAGAAAGGGAAAAATTGAAAGATAAATTACATCAGACTTGGATGTCCTCTGTTATCATACAGTGCCATTAGAGTATTAAGTGCCATGTGTTAAGCCCTTTAAGCCCCAATATCCACATACAAATTCTCCAAACTGGTCTTTATACATTTCCATAAAGAATAAGGTGAGAGAATTTGAAAGAAGATCAAAGCATTTTCTCTTAGGTGATCATTTCATAAATTCTCACAACCTTTTCTCTTGATTGTGTATTGATAGGAGAAAATTGATACTCGTCACTTTTGAGACTTAAAGGATTAATTATGCATGTGGGTTAAAATTTGTAATTCTTGGCCACAAGTAAAAATGTCACATTAGGACCTAGACATGCTAGCATAGAAAAATAGGTTAAACTAAGTAAATAAATTAATAAATAGTTAAAAAGCAAAGGAAAACAGATAAATAAAAAATAGATAAACAAATAAATTAATGAATAAATGAATTCAGATAAAATTTAGAAGATGGAGCTTATGGAGCAAAGAAACGCCCAAATTGTTTCTTAGAAGAGCTCTTTACTATATTCCCAAAGTCTTTTCATTCAAGATTCTTTAGAAATTTGATTCTGTATTTTTCCGCACCTTTTTAAAGACAGCTTGGTTACTATCAATGCAGAGAGGGTCTTGGTCAATATCTTGAGCCTATTAAGCTCAGACTTGGACATTGTTTATGCCAAAATGGGATTGTTATATGATGCTACCTCCTATAAATACTGTCTCATATAAGACGGTGAGGGTTTCAGTACACTAGGACACTTCAAATTACTCTCTCAATGCATGTGGATATTGGGACTTAGAGAATCAAAGTGGAATTCAAGTGTTTGTTCTGTAGACTTGACACCCTTTGTTTTTAGCCATTTTTACGAAATTATAATGTTCTCTAGTTTGGTAAATTTTGACAGTAACTCAGTGCGCTTTGGAATAAAAGCAGTGTTTTACACGTGCTTTAGCAACCTCTTAGGACTTGTGTCACGTGAAACATTTTTACGTAATGCATTGCGTGCAACTTGTTTTAACAACGAAGGCCGATTATACTTATGGCGATTTGCAGTTCAAACGCCTTTTAAAATTACACTTCAAAGTTGAAGTCTTAAAGGTAGCTTGGCTTTTGGCGAGGGCGAATTTTTCCCCGCTGCGATTCATCACGAGAGATAATCCACTAGAATATTAAAGAAAGTTCTAATTTGCATGGACTGCTACACTGCGAAGAACAACGATATACATTAATATGTACAGACAATTTCATTTTGAAAAACTACGCCTTTACAGCAACTTAGTCTACGTAAAGAACCAGTAAATTATGTAGGAGCTGCTCATAAGATGTTTCCTCATTGGTCGCAGAAAACAATAACACATCATTGTTTATAATTATTTCCTATTGTTTCACGGTTAGGGTATCGAGCCAGTTGGCTTTAAGGGTTAGGAGAGCTGCTACATGATAAAGACCAGGATTGAGTAACTTGTTTGCTAGGAGGTTGATGAGAATCAGAGAGGCGGTTGTACCGCAGGATAGCTTTTAAAAAGTGTCACGCTATAAGCGAGACGACCGGGTATAAACAGTCTGAGCCGGAAATTTTGGAACCGACTTTATATTAGCTGCCGTCTTTTTTAGTGGCCTCCTGTACAGAGAGAAACTTGTTCAAGCACGGCGAAAGGTTGAAAAATGTCATTCTTTTCGCTCTTGTTCAATTTAGCACATCTAAAACTATTTCCCTTGGACAAATCACTGTTTTCTTTATTGTAAATCTGATATCATAATTCAAAGACTAGAGGGATTAAAGGAACGGACTAAACATCACTGCTGCTTGGCGCAACATAACCTCTTTCATGCATGTTTTCCCGCTTATCTCGACTCAGTTTAGTTGCCTATGGAGTGGGCTTTGCCCAACGTAAACGGCGACCTTGTACATGTTAACTAACAATTTTAAGCACAATTTAAAAATAAACTTAGGTAGGAGACGTGTGATTTTGACAAAAAAAGCGAAGGACTACTGTCAGATTGTCGTCCAGACTGGGTGCGTTATGTTGAAACCTTTTTTAACAAAGTACAGCTTAAGAGGCGCCACATAAATTGCCACGAACACAGTCGTTATACATCGAATGAGAAAACAAACAAACAAAAATGTTCGTGCAGTTTGTCGGAGTTTATTAGAGTTAAACAAGGTTACGTAACTGTTTTGACTCGCTGTATTTGATGTATGTGTTCATTGTTTGCTCTGAAAGGTGTCTATACCTTTAGGTCACCAACGTTTTTTTTTTCTTTTAATAGCACTTTTACAAATTGGGCAGGTCTTGCATAGTGACAGCGTGCTCAATATGATTTTTTCCCATTCTTACACTCTTAACTTTTTTTAACACATGCCGCAAAAAAAAAGCAAATCATAAGCATAATAACGGAATTTTCGCTGTGCAGACTCTTATCTAAATTCTAAAACACCGGACATTTCTACAGACGGACGTCAGTTAAGTTGGTACCTGCCATTTCTCAGTCATTTTACTAAAACTGTAGTGTAGACACAGAGTAGAACCAACGGTATTCGTGTAAGAAATTGTTTCCTGTAGTTTTGCCCCCACAATGTATTATGCAACGATATAAATTTGATCTATAGATCTATATATAGGGTCAAGAAATAAAGATTACGTTCTCGAAAGAGATGGACGGTGCTTAAAAATAAATTAAGAAATTGTGTTAAAAATGATAATCAATATTGTCAAGACTTGGGGACAAAGTGGTGATGGAAGAACTACGAATGGTACACCCATGGGATCGACCGGATAGTTACTAAAAGCTTTCAATCAGTTACCATTAGCAACACAAAGTGATGGTACCTTGCACCCTTACTTGCCCTTAACTGAAAGTCATCCTACCTGTTCTATTGTGTTTAAACAGGGGAGGCTATAAACACACTCTCGCAGCTTGAATCTTCTCCTTTACAGCGAGATGATTCGAGGTCTGTTTTCGAGGTAAGAAGAGCCTATCAAAACTTTGCCTGGTTTCAAATGACTATCGCTATCCTATGGTGTTAATCGGCTATTAGCGACTCTAACAGAGCTAATAACAAAGCAATCCAAGACAGCGACGAAAGGATATGTTTTCGTTAGAAAAATACGATCTTGGAACACGCAAACTCTTCATGCAATAACAGAATTCAGTAACAAATTCGCACAACTCTTTGCCTGGGCAATTCACTTGACACCTAGAGTAAGCTTATTTCTGATTTTTTACAAGCATTAACGGTGGCTAAGATGTGTAAAAAAAGCTCATAAATTTCTGGTCTTTTTTCTACCGTTTTGGTCGATGATACGATACACGTGTTGATCACGGCCAGAACCGTAAATCCGCGGGTAAAAATAAATAATGGTAAACCGATTTAGCCACATCTATTGACGAAATTTGGCCATAGAGTTACAGAGCAACTTGAAAAACATAATGCCTGGGGAGCTTGCCAAGTTATCATCAAAAGAAAAGAGAATGTACCGTGTTCCCGGGATCCGGGATTTGGCCACAATAAAGTGCGGGATTCGGGAAACGTTAACGGGATACGATATTTGACTGCTACCGGGAAAGCAGGATTCGCCTAAATTTGGGCACGGATGCGGGATTGGGAAAGAGAACGATATTCGGGATAACGATGACAGAAGTTCGGGATGCGAGATTCCCGTGAAAGCGAGCGGGAATGCGGGATCGGGACCCTCTCTCATCCCTTTATATTACATAACGAACCTCTATAGAAGGAAGTTCTCGGTATAACGAACGATTTTCTTTACTCCAGTAATAGTAAAATGTATGGAAAAGAATCTCGATGTAACGAAACCTTGTTATAGCGAACAAATTTGCCAGTCCCTTGGCACTTCTTTTTTTTCAAGGTTCCACTGTAAAAAAATATATAAAAAGATAAGGGAAAAACTGTTACTTGAGTTTCATGCACTTTCCGATCAACAGACTCTACTTTACTAAAAATTTACTTTTGTTTTTAGCTCTGGTTATTTTTGCATATAGCACTCCTAGGATCAAAGATCATGAAGATAGATCGAAAGTTGTAACTCGAGTTTTACGTACTTAAAGCGATCATTGATCAGACGAAGTGTTTTGCACGAGTTTAAACACATTGTATTCCAAGGATAATCGTGAAGCAATCCGTACACATTGTGTATTCGCTTATCAGATATATATATAGTCGAGCAGAGAGTAATGGAGAATTCTATTAGCGTAGTTTGTTAATGTGACCCGAGACCTCTTTATATCGTGTGCTAAATATAGCACCGATAGAGTCTTTATGGATATAACCCCTATTCCAGTCTTGCTTTCGTAAAGAACGAGGTCGCAGTTGAAATTCGAGGCAGCCTAACATGGAACTATTTTAGACACAATGCCAGTTTAGCCGGTAAGAGGTCACTGATTATTTCCCCGAGGTTGTCCCCTTTTTGTGGAAAAATTCGTGTTATACTCCTGAAATGCTTTTCTTTATTATTGCGGTGTAATTCATAGTGTGTTCAAACGTAGATTTTGCGACCACGCAAAAACGACTTCCTGGAGCAAATATCCAAACTGAACATTGCACTTATGTTATGATGAACAACTGTAAATCTCTATTGTTTCCGTCTTGAGTCAGGAAGACTTTACAAGGAAGCTTACTTTATCCTTGGATCTACTCGACGTGTTTCGGTTTCAAATACTGAAGCGAAGTTTTTTCTCGTGGGGGTTTCCTGCCTGGTGTTGTTTACACCACGCTGTTCCTGTCCATGTTGGGGTTTATAAAAACAGGCGTGCACCGTCAGAGAAGAGGCCTTTGTGGCCTTTGCCAATGAACCTGCTGTGAAAGCTCCTGAGACTGACTAATTACGGTTCTTACGCATCTCAGTCCCTAAATGTAATGCTCTTTAACCTAAAACTCTCTTTGGTGAATCTTTTCTATCCATAACATTTTGCCCTTCGCTCTCCCACTTAGCCGAGCAAACGTCAGAAATTCAACTGATCTCATCTGTAAACTAGCACAAGTGTGTGCAAGTTAACTTCTAAAACTCTTGCTCTCCAACTTGCGGTCAAAAGTCAAAATTGAAGAGAAAAATGCCGTGTAAAATATACTGACAAGCTATTAAAGTGGTCACTTACGCAAACTTAGAAATAACATGACTTATCGACTGAGAGAGCTGCGCTACTCGAAAGGAAATTAAGCGGGGTGGCAAAATCGCACTTGAAATCCCCGGAAATGATGATGAAAGTGGTTATAAAAACAAGAAAGATAAGACAAAAACATAACAAATAAGAACGCACCCATGCTTTCCTATTGTTCGTCTAAAACTGACATTTTTTGTCGAATACAGTCACCGTATTAACATATTTAACAATTACTCCACGAGTGCGCGTTGGACATGAGATGGTAATCATCTCAAATCTAACAAGCGCGAGTGCAATAATTGTTTTATTAAAAACGCCCACAAAATATCGAGAATTCGTCCCGAATGTAATTGTAAAAACAACCGATTTTCAGCTTGTTTTTAGTTTTGAGCAAATGCGTACAGTTACCATATTTGGAGAGCATTGTATAATGGCTCATATACCATGATGGCTAAGCCAATCAGAGCTCTAGAATTGTATTATAGAATGATTCAGTTTTTAATAATATATAATACCCGTACTTTAAGACGAGAGATTTTGTATTTATGATAAGAGCGAAACATTTTTTTTACCCTGGTGTATAAGCACCAAAATCAAGAAACCAGATATTACTGCAAGCAAAGGAAAAAATGGGTTGAAGTATCCTGTTTTGGACGTTACGTATCACTTTAGAATTCAGCATTACGAAAAGGATGTGATTTATTTTTTAATTACACAATGGAACCAACGATGTTAGTGTCTCCAAGGGTATTTAGCATTAAGGACTAACAAAGAATGAGATTAACTAAAAACCCCATGAAGAAATCGTTCAAGTCACGACTGGGAGTTTGAGGTTTTCTGAAAGGAGGTACAGTCCCCGGGTTACAGTCAAACCTCTTTAATACGGACACCAAAGGGACAGAACCAAGTGTCCGCTTTACAGAGGTGTCCGTTTATAGAGGTAGGGAGTTTACGATTTTTGGTATTTCTGGGACCTAACGAACTGCCCGTAATAGAGAGGTGTCCGTAAGGAGAGGTTAGACTGTATATTAAGTAAATTATTTGTAGATTTTTATGGCCAGATGGAAGGGATTTGATTTGAGGCAATCTTTCTATATATTCGTCTTCTAATAGCATACCACAAAATATATACAATCCAAGCCTGACCTGACAACTTCTTCCTTAACATTGCTTCTGCAAGTCATTTTGTCTGACTCTTGAAACACGAACCCTGTGGAACTGTGCCCAGAAAAGGGCTCCATCTTGACGCACATTCTCATACCGTCATGTTTTGCTGCCGAAGTGAGCTACACTATGTAAGAAACTTTAACTTCAGTGTAATCAAAGTATGAGCTATCATATTCTGTACCAAATTTTGTGGCCACCATATATGGCAACAGAAATAATCCGCTTTTTCACACTTTCTTTGGTGGACAGTGAATCCTGAACTTGCAATGATTTGCTGTACTGATTTTTTACTGTACACAGGTAAGCAGAGGTTAAGAACAAAACAAACCTTTGAATTTACAAAATTAATAGAAAGTAGTGGATTGTAAGTCCCCCCTCGATTTTTAGATTTAGATTTCCAAGGAGACAAGAGCTCTCATCTCACTGGACACTGCAAACCTCATTCAATGTTAACTCGTTCCAACTATCCCATACCCATCCCCCCAAAAATGATCTGGATTCTGCTCTGCCCTGTCGAGACTCATGACTAGGGCAAAATTAACTTTCTTGTTCGGTGAAGGTCGTCACCGTTTTGCTTTACCATTTCTTTTCATTTCATGTACGTTTTGAAATAATATTGACACTTTTATCGGCAAAATAATTACGGCTCAGACTATGACACAAGAAAAACATAGAGAGCTTGGCGACGTCTTTGTTCCTGTTACTACAGCTACACATTGCATGTAAGCGAATGACGAATCGAGACGAAGGCCGACACTGGCAATAAGGCTCGTGATATCAGTTTTCGCATCTTTTGTGAGTTTTCCAATGTGTTTATTGACTTATAATTCAGGGCATAAGACATCTACAACCTACGGAGTGTAGTGTTGACAAAAACATCGTTTAAGTGAGCTGCAATTCATGCTCGAATATAATTTGCTTGACATGTGAATTTTGAGATAAGTGTATTATTCATTTTTTTTTGCCTTGATTTTATATTTTTGGTCAGTCTAAGGACAGTGTGTTTCATTATGAAAGAACATGAATTGTTACACGTTTTAGTAAGCATGGTTTGATTTTTAAGTATCGTTAAAACACGCAACGCCTTCTTAAAATTACCTAGTATATATATGTTATTTAAATGGGTGATCCCCTTACTAGCTTACACCTGAGAAGTACTTGGTCTGGTCCCAAGTTCTCACTTAGTACGCACTGGAATGCCTATCACGCAGACAAAAATAAAGTTCTATTACTTCCCTTTGGGTTCAAAGCTGCCTCTAGGCGGTTGGTCGGTTTCATGTACTGAAATAGGTACCAAACTGTACCTCAAAAACCAAACTAAGGTCAAAGTACACTTTCGTGGATTACAGTTTAAAGGTGGAACATTGTAATTAAGTAATTTCAGCTTTTTACGCGTATCAAAGTTTAAAAAATTACTTTCATGCAAACTCAGTGTAAAGCAAGTCTCTACTAAATTTAACATCCTCAAGGTTCCAACTGGAGACTTGAATTACGCTTACATAAGCGTCCTTAACTCCATCAGGACAACGACTTTTCCGGAATTTTTCCGGAATTAGTCTGGTATTTTCGTTATCTTAGCATATAATCTTAAGAGGTCCTTTGTTTAGGAGAGGATTTCCGGTTTAAACAAACGACGGGAAATTCATTCTGTGTGATAAGGAATCGTTAAAATAAACGCTGACTCTAATAAATCATGCAAAAGAAATGAAGTGGACACTCTCGTGAACAAACACCCTTGGGACGCGAAAAATCGTCCCTAACTGGAACTGGCCGCTTACGAAAATGTAAAATACAGAGTTTGTAGGGGAGTTGAGAAAACGGGATTGCGGGAAGGCGGCCGTAAGGGTGGTGTCGCTTCTTGATGAGAGACGCAGTGCTTTCTTTTATATTAAACGGCGTCTGTGGGCCCCTTACCTTGAGGAATCCATCAAAGTTATATTAGGAAACATTCCTTGCCTTTCTCGACGGCATTTTAAATGGATTTTCTTTCAACAGACATAAACATTCGAAAGGACGACTTGTAGAGGCTTAACCCAGGTCGAAAAAGAATGTAAAGTGGGCCGTGTCACGCTATTTTCTACCCATTGAGTAAGCCAAAACGTTTTTCTTGTTAACTGATTTTCAAAAAAGAATGGTCCGATTTTGTTATTTAAAACTATTTTTAGGCTCTGAAACTCTTTCCCGCTGTATGTCGCAACGGATTGTATTCATTATTCCTAATGTAGCCACAACACAGCGTAATTCAAATACTCTGGCTTTCAAAATGATAATGATAAATGATAAAAGATTTTAAAAGCAGGTATTTTTCCAGAGAAAACCATAGTTGAACAGGCTTCTGATTTTCTTTCGTTTTAATGAATGAAATCCGTCTTTGGCAGAAGGCACTGAGAAAAAGCATAACTTCGTTTATAACTTTTATCAGTCGATAATTTCCCTACTTTGGTACCTTTCGAATGTTTCTCCTCCATCGATATAGAGCGAATCAAAAGGGGAAAAACAAAACACCAACAACAAGCTTACAAACAAACAAATAAACGAACAAACGAACGAACGAACTGTTAGCTTGCACGAGAAGGGTGTTCCTGGGGCGCCGTCCGTCGATAAAATAAATAAAAAGGTCAGCTCTTAATTTAAGTGATATGCTAGAATGTTCGAGTGGTGATCGAGTGTCTAGAAAAAAAAAAGGGCCGACTGAACTTGTACTAAACATCCTGCTTGCTTTTTCAACGAGTCGCTTTCGTTGTGTCTGCGTACCCTTAACTTTCTTTAACTTATGTAATACTTTGGCCGTCAAGGGGATATAATTTCAACGTGAAGGAGAGTGCGCGGAGGACGGAAGACCCTTTAGAATTGATATAAAGAAAACGAGAGAGGTCGAGGTTATGCGGAATACCGATTAAACCATAGATTATAATCATACGTTCAAAGTGTCTCTCTTTTGAAAGTTTTACGGTAATAACTTGTTCGAAGTGTGAAGTATTGCATACACTTTAGTTATTCTTTTGAGTAGAATGTATTAACAATTTACATCGTTACCTGAATATTGAGTTCTCGCGCTTTTTGTCTCTTCGCTTGGCTGTTGGCTTATTGGCAAACTGCCTCTGAGGGCACGCTCCTTTGCGCCTACCCGGTTTTTTGTGAAATATTTTTATTTAATAACACAGCTCGTGTATCAAAGTGCCTTGTCGACACCTCGCAAAGCACTTGCGCGTTCCGATTTCGCGCCAGAAATGTAACGATCAGTTTCCCTTTTTTAATTTTTTTTTCCTGAGTCAATGTGTCAGTCAATTTTTATTCAAGCAGTAATGATTCATTGGAAACATTACAAAGAATTTTAAATTGTACTTTAGATCTCATTGTATAACATTGGCTAGTGGAAGTTTCAGGTTAATTGGAGCAAAGGCGGAATCCTGACAATTGTCAATTAGACCGTAAACATGTGGTACAATATACAGTGATCCTAAACGCACTAGATTATGCACGAAATCACTTTTAAGTGAACCTTTCTTTATTAGGCCCCCATTAAGTCATTTCGCTTTTCCATGCTGTCTCCAGCAGTGACTATTTGCACCAAAAATTCAGGAAATACAGAAATAAAGCCTTCTTGCTTAGCCTTACTTAAGCGTTGAGTAGTACATTAGACATTCAACCCCACGCGTGTTCATTGCAGACGTCACGCACATTTAACACTAATTGAAAAATGCACTGATTCATTTCACACGACTCTATCAGTACCCAGACGCAACTTGAGGTGAGCGATAAAGTCTCCATCAAGAAAAGCAAGGTACATACTATCAAATTGTTTATATTTAAACTTTTTTTTAGCTATTTTGCCTTCTTCATGTGAGCGTGATAGGCTTAAAGATTTAAACCAAGTTTACTTCAAATTAGGGAGCTTCGATTCGATGTTGTTGTTTGAATGTCTGCTATTCCAGGGCAGCGTGTGTTTTAGCGTGGTAGGGAACGGTCCAGAAACGTTTGACAAACTTTTCAAATTGGACATATGCGTTTCTTTGCTACTTTTTTTTACATTTCAACTATGTCTAAAATTCCTTTAGACCAAGGTGGATATAATCTATACCCACTAGTTTCACTAAACGACTTCAAACCCCGGAACTTAGTGTATTAACTAAGATATACAGTGGAGCCTCAGAATTTAGCGAACCTCATAACGAATTCCTGGGTATAACGAACGATATTCCAAGCTCCAGTAATAGTAAAATATATGGAAAGGAACCTCGATGTAACGAAACCTTCTTACAGCGAACATATTTTGTCAGTTCCTTGGCCCTTCGTTATATCGAGGTTGCACTGTATCTTGATTGAAAGACGGCACATCAAACCGTTCAACAGACCCGCCCTCCCGCTACTTTTTCATGCGCTAAAGTTTAACTAACTCATTGAAAAATTTATCCAAAGTCGGCTTTTGGGTTAAATATAAAAATTTGTTCGCTGCTATAAAACATAAAATTATGTAACCAGCCGAGGGCGATTCTACTTTGAATACAACAAGGAACAACTTATATTCCAGAACAAATCTATGTGACCTCTTTTGCACTTCGCCTCTGGTTCAGAACTTTTTCATCTTTTTAAATTCACAACTGTTAAGTTGCAGCAACAAATGTTGAGCTGTTTAATGCATGTTGAATGTTAAAATGCACCACTTAAGTTGTTGAGCGCGAAAGCAGAGATGAGCTTTCTTCCATTCAAAAAGTTGGGACGTGTTTGACTTGTTTAGCCTGGGGGCAAGCTCTTGATTTAGACCACGAATCGTGAAAACTCACGTGCAAGAGGCACGTGATGCGGCTCTGCTCGCCCCACTCCCCACTCGAAATGGAGAGCTTCGCCGCAGGCTACGATTGGTTGAACAGCAACTTCGTTCACCGTTTGTTGAACAACAAATGTTTACCGATAATGAACAATGTGTTATTGGCGTTTCTTCAATAGGAGTCTTTTTTTGCACTGCACGAGAGATATCCTTTCTGCCTGTATACAAAAGCGTTTTAGCATTTATGGTTGCAATTGTATCACGTGAAGGTCTTATTTTGGTTTGACTGTTAACTCGATTTTGACCAGTCAAATGAAAAGAACATTAAGAAGTTCAAGATTCATGGGTCAAATCTACATTTGCTTTTTAAATACCCCACACACTAACAGTAGCTACAGGTGCTTTCGGTCGCTTAATACCTTAATACCATTAAACATGTCTTCCCCGATATATTTACATACCTTAGATATATAGATAGATTAGATAAATGGTTTGTTATAATTATCCACATAGCCCGAGGCTGAATTACGATAACCTTTTTCTTTTAATGCAAGATAGTTGCAAGTTGCGTAACTGAAAGCATTAACTAGAACGATGTTAAATTTGTATTGGAATCGCGGCGGGATATTCTGCGGAGAAGTTCACACGGCTTTTTAAGAATTTGAACGGATATCTCGTTCACACGTCGCAGGTCAATCTTTTCGATCTGCTCACACGAAACTTTGAACAGCTAGGCGTCTAAATTTCCGCATGGTTAAGGTGGAAACACCTAAGCGCATTAAACCGGTCGAAAATTTGTCCGGTGCCGTTCGTACCCGTCGTGGACGCAGGTGATTCGCAGGCAGGCTGATTATTGCAATATTTTCACTTCAATAATGTTATTTGTCACAACAGTTCCTGACAAGAATGAAACAAGATTACGGCTGACCTGAAACGTACCTCAAGTGCAAAGCAATTAAAACGATCACTACCTGAATCAATTTTATATAATCAATTTATTATGCAATCAGTCATCATTCAGCAGTACTTTAATTTCCAGGATGTACTATAATTCCCATCGAGCATACGCGTCCACGTGATGACCACGAATATCCAACGACAAGACCGCATCGAGAACGTCAACAAAACAATAGGTTGAATAAGCAAAACAACAACTTTGTACGTGATCACCCTTTTATTTTTGCATTTCTTTGCCATTTTTGCACGACTACGACGTGAAGATGCCTAATTTTGCGTTTTATGGATAAAGTAAACAAGCAACGACGAAATTTATTCTTCTTTTCGCTCTGGAACTTGGATATGGTCCCTTGGAATTCAACTCCATTTGCGTTCGCCTACATTTGACAAAGTAAGTAGACAGGAATAAATCATTCAAAGAAATACTGAATATCCACAGCAGGCTCGCGTTAAGGCAGCAATTGTAAGCGTAAGCAAATGCGCGAGAGCATAAACTTGCTTTCAAACACGATTTACACGTTTGAAGTTTATTTTTTTTCGTCCATAGCGCTGGACAGCGGCTCGATCAAAGAAGCAGGAGGATGCTCGCATAGCCTGCGAAAACATCCGTTTCTCCTCGCTCTTCGCCGCGCGTTCCTCCGCGCGAAACGTCCCTATCGGCGAAGAGCGAGGAGAAACGGATGTTTTCGCAGGCTAATGCTCGCGGTGGTTTCTCTCCCTTCGTAGCGTAGCAACCGGCCTGGAAAAACCACTGCTCGCAGGGTAATAAGCTTGCATTAATGTTTTAAAAACTGGTTTTTCTTCAAAATTTTTAAGTCATTTTATAATCAATTGCAGGTGAATAAGTTTCATATTTGTTCGCGACTGTATATTGTGTTTTTATTACCGATTATTGTTTTTAGTTAATTTGGGGGCCATTGTCGGTTTGTCAGTTTTATTAATACTGCGATGTTACCCTAATTTAAGTAAATAAATTTGATATAATTGTTAATGAAATAGAGTCTCACTGTTTCCACCACTACTACTTATACTCAACTAGATTTTATTCACCCGCGCCGTCTTTTGCCCAATTCACACCAACTAGACATGTTTAATTAAACTGGTTTTAAAAAATCAAATACACATTGCTAAGCAGTAGAAAAGAACAGTCCCCTAAGACTTTTGGGCAGAATTCGAATTTTAACTTTAAGGCGTTATGTATTTGAACAAAATTTGCAATCGATAAAAGTAAAGTATTAGAAGCTTCTACAAAGAAAACAAATTTCAACTGTATTTAACTTAACAGCTTTTAGATATTTTAAACCTTTGGTGCGAATGAAGCTTTTGTTACCAACTTTGTCCAGTTTGTCATGTCCGAAACATAGTTAACATTTCGTGGGACATGATGGGCCAATTTTATCGGACACCAACTCGTATATGCAGCTCTGGCACGCCAAATAAAGTTCGTCCTAATAGACTTGGGTATTACTGTTCGTAAAGAAATGCCACCAAATTAGTGCAGTGATAGATAACAGCATTTATAGCCCTTCCTGTAAGCAAAGAGAAACAGCCGAGCACTGAGAGTGACCAACACCAATTTTCTTCCAAGAGGATAGGTTATAAGAATTAATATAATGATCGAAAGTCAAATCATTATCAAATTTCTTCAACTAATTCTTTGAGGAAGTGTATAGAGATTAGTCTGGAGAATTTCTGTGAAGATATTATGGCTTAAAGAGTTAAACATTTCACTCGCTGGAGCCTTATTTCAGACCAAAAAAATGTAATTTTCCACACCCGTTTTCAGACCAGACCTCTAAAATCCATACCCGTTTTGAGAGCTGGCCTTAAGGCAGAAATTATATCATTACTTAGATAAGAGCGCAAACGAAAACAAAAGATTTCAAATGCATTTCGAATTCGCATACTTCTATTTCGTTCTTATTCATTTGGAATTGAAAGAATAACTATGTTCATACGCCCCCATAGTTCCCTCAAAAACCATACCCGATTTCAGACCAAAATAGGCAAAGTGTATCCCCATTTTCAGACCAAAAAGGCCCAAAAACCATACCCGTTGGGACGGCACATACCTAAATGGCTTATATAAAGGAGTACCCCTCCCCCGCCTCTACCGGGTTTCAAGGAGCTGTTTTCACTCACGTGCGTCACGTTTTAACTCGCGTGGTCGCCCTTTCATTGTTATGGTACATCAATATGGCCGCCTTAACCTCATGTGTAAATGATCTTTATCTTTTAATTCTGTGAAGGAAATCTAATGATATAATATTCAAATGAAACGTATTTGGTACCTACGTGCAGAGGTTAGTTTCTGGGGCGTAAACAAACTAACTAAGCGACTGACAAGCCAAGCCAACGACTTCGCAAATACCAGCTCGTACGTCTTGGCGGCATTTTGTTATCGTACTACTTGTTTTTCAATATTTTACATAATGGAATTTTGGAATTTTGCTAAATTTAGGGTTGATAGTACCATAATTATAACTTTCCACTCGCCAGACAGGAGCCAAAGGGCTTTTGCAACTTAATGCCCCAGAACACAGACATTTGGATTATCTAAGTCGACATTTAAACTAACGTAAATTTCCTCCACGTGAAATGCCAATAGTTTGAACCTTTTTTTCTTCTTTTTTTTCTGCTTACTCTGTGAACTGTTATTTTATTTTGTTTTCTTTTATTCTATTAATGGCGACTGCGTTTCTAAGTATAGCCGGCAAAGATTCACTGAACGTTTTCTCTCAAAAAAGTTACGTTCGTGAAGCTATTCGATGGTTAAGGCCAATAACAGAAAATTGGCGTTATTCCTGAAAATTTGATAGGAAAGCGAACACCACAGAAAGTAATTCTCACTGTTTTTTCAAGTATTTCAATTGCAATCAATTCCAAGCAATTTGGGCGGGGAGGGGGAGGGGATGCTTCTGGGGCAGGCTAGGGGGAACAAGATGGAGGGTAGGGGATCGGGATATGGGGGGGGGGGGGGAGGGGCTTCAGTGCACTTCGGAGGCTGACCACGTTCAATATGCATGCAACCAAACTTACACAAAATGAGGCTATTAATTTGCATTTGTTTCTTGAGTGATTTGGTTGAGTCATGTTTATTAACATTTGCGTTTGCATTAAGTATGGATCAGTTGACTTATAAACAAAAATCAGATATAAACAGCAAAGTGTGAGTATATTTTGTGAATGACGCCACACCGACGCCATATTGATGACGTCCGCCGTTTTAACATAAAGCAAACTGGAAGTTGCAATAATCGATGTGAATCACTTTACTGTTACAGTGCATGATAGTATTCGCCGGCCATAATTCCGATGGCACTATTTTGCAGACATTCCTATTACAGCAAATTTTACCTATGTTCATAATTTTCTTAGTCCTGGCACCTGCAGGCTAAAGGCCAAAACCCTTTTTACTGAAGCACGTGCACACGTGCATACTAGCAGACTAATAAGATCAATTAAAGGAAACCTAATTAGTGCTGAAAAGGCGAGATTATCATTACAGGGGATTATACTCATAAATCTACCGCTTCGTTAAAGTTCTGCTACGGATACTTAGAGGTCAATTGTAGAACTTGCCAAGGCTTTAAGCAAACCTTTGGACGCCACAGGAGACAATTATCAGGCCATAAGTCGATATGAATACTAATGGCATTTTCTCAGTACTCAACAGTTGATCGTTGGTACCCGCGGACGATGGGCGGGGAGATGTATGCTTTAAATGAAAACAGTAACAAAACAACAATTAAAGATGCTTTGGCGTCCTTGGGAACAGGAAAAAAGGAAGGAATGTTTAGGTTTTACAGAATAAATGTATCTTTTTACTGAAGCCAAAACACTTGACTTAAGATTGGCCCTACAGTTGTCTTCCTCCACGGATAAAGACGAAAAAAAGTATTGGCAAAGAGGATGAAAATAAGTCGAAATTTGGAACTCAAAAAGACAACTAAGAAGATTGAAAGCACAGTAAACGTTGCATGAAGTCACGTGATATGTCACGTGAGAAAGTTTTTTCCCCCTGAAAATCACACGCAAGTATCACGAACAGTTGTTCTATTTTGTAAATGTAATTTAACAATAGTGGATAAGATTTTTAATTCGTGTTTTTGAAAAAATCATGAGTTAGTCTGAAAAGAAATAGTTATTTTCTTGCATATTATTAGAGAAACACCGCTCGGTGGTATAAGCTTCTCGTGACTATTAGTTACTCTTAATTCATATATAAAATCTTTTAGTTAGTGGACAAAGAGTCGCTTCATTTTCCATCATACCTTTCATAGAGCGTTTCTAAAATAACAAAATTGCAGAACATTGATGAACATTCAACCTGAGGAAAATCATATGAGTGCGAATACTTTATTGACATCCACTGCAGAACTAAATGATGGTTTAGCTTCTTAACTTGTTAGTCTTCCGCCAGAATTTTAATTTATCGTGGCTAGCATTTCTTCCATAAAGCGTTTGGTAATCGAGCGACGTAACCTGACAGACCAAGGGTAGTCCACTATTTCCCAAACTTTGTATTGCCAAAAGATTTACTTCCAATTGTGTGAAGCTATGGCACAAATCGAAGAACCTAAGCATGCATATGCTGCTTTTGAAAAATTAACTTGTCTCAAGTGAAACTGCTGTTTGGAAATATGGAATACATGTTTAAGAAAATGAGGCTTAGTATAAAATAGTAACCGATAGCTTATAAACTGTCTCAACTACGCTTTGTGTCAGGTGAGAAAAGAAGTTTTTTTTACCTGATAGCTAAGATCAGAGGTCCAAATAGTCGACTGATGACTGAAAAATGGGTTAAATGTTTAACTGATAGCCGAAACGTCTCCGAAAAACGAACAGATCAATGATTTCAGCACCTCTATGCAAAACCTCAAGTTACCTGCTATTTCGCCTCTTTGCTTTCCAAACCTAGCTACCTTCCTTGTAGCGTGCACTTTCCAACTTTTGATTCCGTAGTCCGAACGACAATACTGATATGGATGATGATGCGTGATATAATTATAGGAATTCTTCAAGGGGGTGGATATCTGCGGACTTTCGCCTATAAAATTGTACGTGTCTTGTCGAAATCTCCCGCGGTGTAACCTTGTGAGGTCCAGAAACTACTAACATTGTCCGTTCTCTTAATTCGTATCGGGATTGGCATACATGTAGAATCAGTAAAGGACCAAAGCAGATGAGGCTGGCATTTATAAAAAAAAAACAAAACAAAAAACAAAATAAGAGAAGAATGATAACTTCACCTTTTGAATATTGTACAACAAGACTAGCACTGCATAACCAGGATTTCGTCACTCTTTCGACGCAAAGTAAATATGGAAAAGTTCAATGAATGTTCGCGAAGATCTTCACTTTGAGTCGATGTTAGTTCTTTGATTTGAAGTCCTCAGTAACAAGATCAATATTTGTGTGTATCCGGTCTCTTCTGAGAATGCCTAGGGATGCCAAATTTTTTTCATCATCGATGTAAAGTACAAGCGTTAATCTTTTGTAAGCGTTTTGAACTGAAATTGATATTTATTTACCTTTTGCGAGGAAAAAAGAAAGTCAGAACCTTGATCTTGTCGTATCCCAGTTTTTTTCTTGGAGCTTTATTTAAATGGCCATTTGCTTTCACTCGCTTTATGTAAGATAGTCTTGGATTCTGAATACCAAGCAGTGGATTCCGGATTCTTTTAATTGGATATTGGATTCCGGAGTCCAATCGTTATTGGGTTCTGGATTCGTTTATCTGTATTCTGGATTCCAAAGCCCAGAATTCCGGATTCCAGAAAAAAATTTTCCAGGATTCCGGATTTTCTGTTTTAGGTTTTGTGATTCTGTTTTGGGTTTGTAATTCTGTTTTGTGTTTTGTGATTCTCTTTTGGGTTTTGTGACTCTGGTTTATGTTTTGTGATTCTGTTTAAGGTTGTGTGATTCTGTTTTGTGTTTTGTGATTCCGTTTTGGGTTTGTGATACTCTTTTGGGTTTTGTGACATTGGTTTGTGTTTTGTGATTCACGTATTTAAGGGTGTCAAAAGATTCGATATCTCTCACTAAAGCAAGGCCTGAGCATATAGTTAGGAAGAAAGGCTTAGGATAGACTGTCAATGTCGAAGATTGAATTGTTAACATTGGAGAAATGTAATCAACCGTAACGATATTAAAGTGGTAGTGTTAATTAGTATTGGAACAGAAGGGGTTTTTTTTTTTTTATTGTGTGCTTGTTTTTTATGTTTATTACGTACTCGTGATAAAAATAAAAAAAATTCTGATTATTTTTCCAAGACCTATTTGTCCTTCACAGATTAAAACTCATTACAATAGCCGTAACATCGTTTTTAGTAATTTATATTGTAATTCAACCAACGTGCTCTATGGCGGTTTTTATTACAGTATCGAGACAATGCTATCTCATAAAAAAGCAGCAAAAAGAAATTTGGTTGTCATCACGTTTAAGTGTGTGCTTTGTGAAATGCATGCCCGACATGCACTAATTTGATTGAAAAATGTTAGCTTTTTTAGTTTTAATTAATAAAATCAAAACTTTCTTTGAAAAAAATAAGTATCTTTCTTGAGACGAGTGAATATATATTTCGCTTTTTTTGTTGATGAATTCAAATATAATAGCTACTTTTGCGTGATCGAGGATAATTACCTTTTTAATCTATGGAGATCAATGCTCACGAAAAGAAAAAAAAAGAAATATAGTAGCGATTGCGAGAAAGAAAATTTTATTTGAAGTTTTGCAACATACGTAGTTTCATAAGACCTTGAAAGCAAGGAAAAATTCTCCCAGGGAACTTCCTTTCTAACTAGATGTTACGGAGAAGTAAGAGCGTAACAAGATTTAAATTTTTGGAATTCTAACCTCTCAACTCATGCTTACAAGGTTCCAGAAGCCAAGGTTTTCCATTTTAAGAAAAACGTGATGAAAGAATGAACGTATGTCTTGTGGGCGGCAATTTTTGTGCTACTTTTTCGCTGACGCACCTTTAAGAGACTTCTAAAAGAATTCTTCAGGGAATGGCGAGATTGGTAATTTTCCTGTTTTTAGTTTGTTTGTGATTTTTTTGCTTTTGATTGGTCGATATACTGTTTTGTCAATTGTTGCACTTGTTCATCTATCGAAATACCAAATTAGTCCCATGCGAATAACTTGCAGTACTTTTCAAAACTATAGTGACAAACCTTTCGAACCAAGAAATTATCGGCTGTTGAACCCGTGCGAATAAGGAACTAATCGTTTAAATTTACGTGAGCGAAGGAAATTTGTTAGAGTCAGCTGATATATCCAGTAGTTTTGGTGATCGTGCGTGTTCAGACATCACATATTATTAGAGTCGGTTATCTTACTTTTACATTACATCCAATTTAGAAGACTTTTGAAAAATGGAAGGTCTTCTTGAATCGTATATTGTTTATGACTTAATTTTGTTTAGTTTTAATTTTCTATCCTTGATAAATGTAATAGAAAGTAAGTATTAGTGGTTATCATTGAAACAGGTATAAGCTTAACTGTAGCTCTATATTAACGGCAAGTGTATCGCCTTTTTCTATGTGTAGATGAGGCCAATTGTGTAAAATTTCCAAGCATTCATTGCCTGTTGCACTAATAGCGACTGTACCTAAAGAATTTTAAAATGAACCTTTTAACAAGACTGAATCGAAAAAGGCAGGCATCATGAAATGCGAGGGTTTAAACCCTATTTAGTAAAACTATGCGGTAAGGAATAGTCAATTGTCTCAAGACCCAGGTTAACTTCTCATGTACAACAGGTGCTCCTAATTTGTTTTGCGGTTCTGAGATTCTTCCAACAAGAAAGTCAACTGTCCATTTGTGTAAGCTTGATAGCTTAGTTAACAACAACAACGAGAACAAAACGGCAACAAATTTGAGTCTATATAGGCTGGACTAAATTATCGGAATGCAAGTGGAAATATATGGGCGGGTGGTAGCGTCGCAGTCCTGAAGTCAAGCCAGCCAAGGTCAAATGCTATCAAATGGACTGAACACGAACTCACTTCAGTAACGAGAAAGTTAAGATTGCATCTAAAGCTTCAATGCTTCATAGTATTTGTACTTTAAAATGCATTTTACGTGCTCATTTTTGTTGAAAATTCTGAAACGTGTTACCCCAAAAGTATACCTGCTGCAAAAAGTCGCATTTTTGGAAACCTAACGAGAACAACTGCTCATCAGTCATCGAAGCTCAGAGCAAGGATTTGGATTACAGTATATGAAGGATAATCTTCGAAAAGGGCTTAAAATATTTACTATCCTACCCTTGGTTTTTCAAAGGAGAATGGAAAAGATAAATGTACTTTTTTGTATGGGTGTTATATAAGTTGCAATTTAAGGTGAACTGAAAACATACGTTATGAAATCTCAGCCTGTTGGTTGTAACACTGCTTGACTTGACTATGAATTTCGCTGGCTTTCTGCCTATTTGAAACCCAATATTGAAACTTCAAAGGAAAATAAATGACAAAAATGTGTCTGGAAAACTTCGGTTACTTATTTTAATTTCAGTCATCAGTAAAATGTAAATGTGGTACCCGCTGAGCCTCTAAATAATAGACCCCGTATTTCTTCCAGACCACGTTATATGGCAAGATGATTTTTTTACACTAACTTTAAACCTCTGGGCGAAATACTATGATGTTACCATTCAGATGAAACCTTTATGGCAGAACTAGAATAATTCGAGGATTGTACAAATAGAAATTTGCAATTTTTGGTGAGTTTTACTTTGGCCAATATTAGGAGAGGGTCAAACAACAAAGCTGACATTACAGTACATCATTTGTGTGTGAAAATGTTCCTCTTTCTTCGTGACGATATTGTAATATTTGTGGGTAAAAGGAGACCTGATAGATTTATCTATACATGTAGTTTCAAAACCCAAATTTTATAGTAAAATTGTTATCTTTCCATCAAGGTATCTTTCTGCTGCCTTCCATTAATTTTGATGATGACGGCAAACTCTGAGGATAATTCTAAAAAGAGAAAGAGAAGAAATAGCGAGATAAAGTTCAAGCAAAAGCAGAAGGAAAAACAATCCACACCGAACCATCAAAGGTAAGGGCATATTCAACCATCATACAACTGCAAGATGCAACTTTTATCGCCAAATCCTTAAGTAGAATTTTGCAAGAAGAATCATCACGGAAGTATAATCGTAATTTCGTTGAAAGTAGGAGCAAGTACCTATTCTTTGGTTTAGTGAAGGGAAACAAAAAAATGGAGGATTTCAGTTATTTTCATTGTGAAAGGAATTTAACTGGTAATTACAATAAGATGAGTAATCTTTGTTGGACTGGTAGGTGGAAATGTATTAAAATATTTAGATTTATTTTGTAGCCCTTGTCCAGTTTCATATATCCTTCCTTAATTTCATTTACAGAACAAATTCAAGTCCGCCGGACCTTTATAATGGTCGTTGCGTGGCGATAGACAGTTCGGAGAGATCTGTTAATGACTGGGATAACACCAGAAAAGATGAATATTCGCAAGTGGTTCTCAGAGATATTAATGACAATTCATTGGTAGCTGAGGATGAGAAAGAGAAAAGTTCTCACGTCTCATTGGATGGCTCGCAAACAAACTCTCACTCCGGGAAATCAGATGAAGACACAGGTACAGTCTTGTAGAGTTTTGTATAAGTGGGTATGTAGAGCTGCCGCAAAATTCGTAGGGTAACGAAATTTGCACCTGTTTATCGCATCTTGGTTTTAATAAATTTCTTTGTAGGCGAAGAAGCTCACAGAGTGCAAAGGGTGAAGACCAAGTTAGGAATATGGAAAACACAAGCAACAGACTTAGTAAGTTTTGTTAATTGTAATGAGAACATTATGTAATAAAAATGCAAACTAGAAGGGTTGATATCGATACAGTCGCTTGTTAGTTCGGTCTTGTTATATGTTGGACATAAGTCGTTATAGTAAAGCGCAGAATGCTTTTAAGCACGGGGCGTACTTGGGATGTTGACGTTTGGTGGTTCCCTTGATTTTTACTTTGTTATAATATCTTCAAAGATGAAAACGGTTTGATGGATTGCCTGTGTTAAAAAGGTAGCCGGTTTGATGGGTAACCTGTGTTGAGCTTAACACAATGGAATGTACATTTTAGAATCTGACTCAGCAGATGATCCGTGACTTCATCCAAAATTGTCGCTATCTTGGCCGCCATTTTGGATTTTCCAAAATGAAGATGAAATTATGAAACTGTGAGAAAAATTATTATTTTCTTTTTAGATTTTAGACAGACTTCTGGACTTTGTTAATGATGAGCCCGAGGAAACAGTCGATGAGTACGTCGAAGGGGAACCATTGGCTGTGAAAACGTAAGAAAAGTAGAAAAATTCAGAAGTAGAGTTTGATCTATTCTTGAATGAGAAGGTACATTCTCATTCTGTATGATGGCTGGAGTTGTTGCCCTTGTTGCTATTGTTGTTATTTCCTTTTTTCCCTGACTGATACCTCTATTTTTGTGTCTTTTTCACAGATTGAAAGAAAACATTAATCGATTCAGTAAGTAACAGTTATAGCAATTAATGTAACCCCATCCATTCTCAGTAGACGTAGAACGTCTTTTTCATACCTAAACTGGTTCAAGCTCGTTGCTTTCTATCGGTTATGTTTACACAAATTTTGACTTTTGCACTTCAATCAATGTTTTAAAAATTTAAAAACCGATCGTCTACCCAATTTCAATGCACCCTTTTACGCCGGGTTTTTTCAACTTTTGACGGGGACCAGTTAGCGAAAATCCGTGTTGACGAAATCCTTATTGTCTGTTTATTATGTCAGTGTATTGATTCAGATTTATGTAAAATGTAGGATCAGGGGTCCCCTAACTAATTGGAATGCGGCGCACTATCCATTTCTTATCCTGTGCTAAATATATTCTTGGTTTGCAACCACGTGACGAGGCGGCCATGTTGGTGATCAATACAATAGAATTTTTCTCGAAGAATTTACATGAAAATGGAGTTTAGTTCCCAAAGGAGAGAGACGCTTTTGTTCTTGACCGCCAACATGGCCGCCGTGACGTCACCCGCAAACCAGCAATACTCTGTTCTTATTTTCAGCTGCTGGCATGAAACCTGTAACTGGTTTTATCAAGTCCTTCACCAACGTTTTCTCTTGGACGAATCCAGCAGCTTCCTTCTTAATATTTTTGGTAAGCGTTTCTCAGCAGCTTTTCCAAAGCACTTAAGATGAGGTCATTATATTTTTTTCAAATATGAACTTTCTGGAATTCCTAGGAATTCCGCAATACATGCTTCGTTATTATATTTTCTTTCCTTCTCTATTTTAGGTTTACATGTACTCTGTTTGGCATGGCTACCTTCTCTCTCTCATTCTGTTTGCTATGATTTGGAAGTTGTTTATCAATTATCTCCACGCTAAGTAAGTTTATATGCACAATAATTGTTTTCTTGTTTTCTGTTTGGACGAACTGTTGAAACGCTTGCGAGCGTGCTCTTAATTAGCCTTGAATTATTGTCATTTTTCCGAGAAGATAATGTCTTCTACCCGGATTCCTACATAAGGTCCGTTTATTCAGGCTGAACATTTATGAATTCACAATTTTCCAGCCACCCTTCTAGCAGAACCTTTCTTTCTTTCGCTCGATTTTGCCGTACTCGAGAACGACTCTGCATCAACGGAGTAAGATCTTTGTTGAGCATGCGCGACATGTTGCTAGGATATAGTTTCCCTGCCAGGCCTTCAAAGAGAGCCTGATTTTTTCCTCCTCACTCAAGAAGACAAAATGAGGCTCTGCCCGCAACCTCGTTCCCAGGGCCCTGTCCTACTCGTTCCCAGGTTCTCTCTTGACGGGTAGGAGAGAGAACCTGGGAACGAGGTTGGCTCCTCTCATAGCAGGATGTTTGCCAGCTTAAGGTTTTTAAAATTTTCTTTTGTAATGGACAGCTCTTATAGGTGAACTGGGCTTACAGTCGTCAGCTGACACGGTACAGAGGGGTATTGGCGTAAAAATAGTGTTTACCTTATGGTTTTTGCAATTCTCCAACAAGTCTGTATTTCTATTATTTCCAACAGAGGCATTACGAAACAGTTAGGATTCTTATACGAAGCAAAAGACGAGGTAAAACTGTCTGGACATTTTTACATTACTGCGTTCTTCTTGGAGTTAAATGACAGACGAAGTTTTCGTACGATAGAAAAGCCAACCATCAAAATAATCAGTTGTCTACTAGAAATTTTACACAATTATACATATGACTTAATGATTTTTGAGTAAGACCTTGTTGTAAGCTTTTGCTCTTTTGTATGTATGCCCTGTCAACATCAAACGTTCTTTTTTACAGTTGACCCCTTCAGATGACCACAGTTGGTCCGACAAATTTCAACTGGTTTTACAAGTGGCGCGAAAAGTACAGGTATAACCTACCGCTTTTGATTTATTTGTCAAAGTTTCCCTTGTTTCATAGCGGAGCTTTACGTTTTCCGCGCGCGAGCCAGAACCCTATAGCTTAGAAAATTTGGTTATATTATGGTAATCACGTTACTGTTCGTCCGTCCATCCACCCGCCCGTCCGCACCATAGGGCAACCAATGTGAACTCTCGCAAGTTCTAGCTGTTGTGGAAAGTCTGGGAACCTGCAACATGATATTGCATATCCATGTTGAGGTCAATTGAAAGGGTATCCGTTGACCAGTATCACACGACCGTGTCCTGGGCTCAGATGTCGACCCATCATGGTTGCGTGTTTTCTAAGTTATCCGCTGACAAGTTACTAGTTTTCAACTGATCGCAGGCCCAATTCAAAGTTAATTTCTTTCCGATGGTTACAAATTTATTGTTTGAAGTAATTTATTTTACGGGAGTTTTTCCTTTAGCTAAATCTGTATTTTTAATGATTGTACCACTTACTGCGATAGACAGACCGCTCCCATATTTTGTTATGGGGATAATGGCGTCCATTTTCTCAGTGGCACAAATTTACCTCGTTTTAATTCTAACTGCTTGCCTTCCTTAGAACACCCTTGGAAAAATGGCAGACGCATTGGAAAAAGTAAAAAAGTACGTATTAAGAGTGTGTGACATGATTTCTAAGTTTTCTCCAATTTTATTGTAAAATTGTCTTTTTGTCCCTGGTCTTAAGGTTCTGAGTTGTCAGAAAAAATAAATGAATAAATATAGTTTACCTTCATAATAGAACCGCCACTTTCTTACATTTTTTAGTCTACTAACTTGGGAGCATCCTGAGGCAACAAGAAAACTCTTTACTGCACTCTGTGTGGCATTATTGGCATCGTTGGTGCTTAGAGGAAAAATTCTTTTCATGATCGCTGGTAAGATGCTTTTCGGGTTTTCGTTCAGTTATCTCCAGTTTTGTAAATGACGATTTAATGGTAGGCATTACTAATCGAATCAAATTTGGATTGTTGGTTTTTTGAGGAGAGGGTGCTTGAAACCGTAGTATCCGGAGAAAAACCGGATCAATTTAGGTTTCTGGTAAACTGCCCACCTACCCCTCCCCTAAGTCAAGATTGACACTTACTTCTCGCTTAGGGCAAAATGTTGGGTTAGGGGAGGGGTATTTGGGCAGTTTCCTAGAAACCCAAATTGTCCACAAAAAGCTCTCGGAACAAGGACGAGATGTAAAAACAAACTGTGCTTTCACCACTGCGCAAACCTTACTCCCCAAAATATTTTAAGGTCTTTTAGGCATTATTCTCCCTCGCAGCCATTTTTTGGAATCGTTGCGTGACATCCCAAAAAACGGCATCGAGGGAGGCCATTTTGTCAGCCCGGTTTTATCAGGCCCTTCATCGCTTTGTCATCACCCCGTCCCCTCCCCCCACCTAGCTTTGGGATTAGAAGCATAAGTTTAGAAATTGAATCCAAGTGTGGGCACTACTATGTGTGAATGTAAACAAATAAAGTGTAACTATAAATTGGATCAACACTTTCTTTTTTTCACAACAGGACTGTTTTGGGGAATAAAGCTTTTTATGATTAATCCTATCTACCACCGCTATCCAAAGGTAAACAGATTTCGATATTTTCCTTTTGTATTCAGGTGCACTGACTATACGGATAAAAATTTCCTTGACGCGCTGTAATGTTGATGATTTTCTGTAATTATTTGTTAGAAAAGCGTGACCGTTGTCTGCTTTACACATACTTCCAATTTTCGCTGCGCCAGCTTTTTCCACGTCCTCGGAGGTGAGGGTTTTGGATAGGCGTGTACTGTCCAGGGACTACCCCAATTTAAGGATGAGACAAACGAAAGTTGATACCCTAACGATTTGTTTTCGAGTAGCTGGACATTTACAAACGTGAGCACAACGCCAGCAAGGTCCTATATATGGGAGTGACGATTAAGCCCTGTCGACCCCGATGATCAGACTGTATTTATTTTTGTCATCGCCGTGGACAGTTACGCGTGACCTAAGTATGAAAATAGTCATATTTTCCCACGTTCTTTTCTCATCTTCCTTCTATCTTTCTTTCCTTTTTATTGAAAGGTCAAAAGGCGTTATGATAGCACAGCAAAGCTTTGGAGGGAACTGCCAACCGGTGCAGAACTGGCTGCAAGGCCAAATGAAGCAGAACCGACCCAACAGGTGACGCTCACTTGAAATCTTTCGAAATTGTAGATTTTCTCATATTTCTTTACGGTAGAAAAAAGCTTACATCGAAAGAATTTGCTCGGTTCTTTCATCTTTTGTTTGTTTTGTTTCGTATTTTTTCCCAGTGGTCTTCTACTGAGCATGCGCCTTGTCCTTTGAAGGATACCCGGTCTTACACATTTTTTTTAAAATGAGGGGGAGGAAGGATTTGACAGTTCTACGATCCCTAATCTTTTCGAACAGTGGTGTGCGTTCTTTTAAGTCCAACAAGAACCAGATAAGTGTAAGTGCTGTGAGACGGGACCTACGGTTTTTCCTCCTTATCCGAGAAGACTAGAAAGTCTAACCGTTTGCAGATGCCATTATACAAAGACAGCACTTTCTTCGCAATTATTCAAAGACCCTGAGTGCTGGTCCGGACTGACCCGCTCAGCAGACTGGCACTCTCCCAACTGAGCTACGCAGGCGGCTGTTAAATGATATTTATGCTTTCTCTTTTTTTTTCTTTTCTCGTAGAGTTTTTCGCGTACATCTTCATCAAGCTCGTTGTCATCGCTCTGTACCAACAGTTCATCAGATCAGACTGTAATCTCTACTGCCAACCTTTTCTCCGAGAGATTCAAAATACCAGCAAGTGAAACCTTGTTACCAGGTACGTGGTCGAAACCCTGAGGTAATCCTAATTCATCCCGAATGGGCGAGCTGATGTTTGTGCAAGCAGACAAGCTCTCACGTTGTCTTTCTTTGTGCCTTTGTAAACTGACTTCTTTAAAATACTAAAATATATATGTTTTTTTCTCTTTAATACATAAGGATTTTTTTTGTTTCTTTCCGAATTTTCTCTTAGGATGGGAAGATGGGAAAAGATGCACCTTTCTGGATAGAGAAAAAACCTTTTCAAACGTCAAACAAGGGCGAATGTTCCTAACTCAAAGGTACAAAGCTGCTATAATACGCATTAGTTTTAAAATCAGGGGGAGGGAGGATTTGGCAGTTTCGTAATATAGGTCAATAGACCAATTCGTTGTTACAGTGATATGGGTATCCATATCCTAACTCAAAGGTACAAAGCTGCTATAATACGCATTAGTTTTAAAATCAGGGGGAGGGAGGATTTGGCAGTTTCGTAATATAGGTCAATAGACCAATTCGTTGTTACAGTGATATGGGTATCCCCGCGTTTTGGGCATCCCCATTCTTAAAACCCTAGTGATATGGACATCCCCTTCTGATATTACCTTAGCGAGTTGGTTTAGGGATAGGGTGAGGGTTAGGGTCTCAGGGCATGCCCATAGGCTAGGGTTTTGGGTATGGGGATGCCCAAAACGCGGGGATGCCCATATCACGAGCCGAAACGTGTGCCGCAGTTGTTTCTGGGATGGTTAATGAGTACGCCCACGCGCCGGTTAGCTATTGGCCATTTTTTCTCCCTGTCCTTAGTAACATTCCCATGAGTCCTTGCGAAAGTTAATTCGGCCCAGGTCCCTTCTCTTTTCTAAAGTGGTGAATAGCCCACGTTCGATATATTAAAATTCTAACATGACTCCGAGGCTTTAGGGTCGAAATTGCACATTTTTCACGACTCCATTGTCTCGCAATTCCCATAAGAGACTTGAGCACAAAGGAAACTAAACCAAATATAGGAAAATGACCAGGGAACCTCGGAGTCTTGTCAGAATTCGAATATATCGAACGAGGGTTATTCGCAGTTACGCAAAATTCAGTTTAGACTCCTTACATAGACTAAACGATACTTGGGCGCCTCGTCGTTTGATTGTAGAGAGAAAATTTTTATCACTTATGTCATTGTTATTATTACTGCCCACAGTTACTTGTGCTTTGAGAAGATCAAATCGTCTGGCACAAAAAACGTTGTCATTAAACTGGAGGACATCAAAAACATTACTAAGGTATGAGTGAAAAAACTGTATCGCCCCATGTAAGGAATCCAAGACAGTCTTGGAATGTGGACTCCATATGGGGCGAATTGTATGTTATAGATGCCGTGTCTCGGAATTAAACTTGCACATCTCTTAGTGTTGTGTCCAACTAAATAACTTTTCATGAGAATCTAAAGTACGTGTCGCGCAGAACCTCGCGAACCTCGGGAAGCAATAAAGCCACCTAAAAAAGGCCTTACGAGCGAGATCAGTTAAACTGGATGGGACGCATGACCAGCCGCTAATACCCTATCGTATAAAATAGACTCTAATTCCCTTTTTTCTTCGAACTTGTAAAAACAAACAACGCAACGATAAAAAAGGGCCGCAGTGACGCGAAAGTTTTAAGAAACTGGAGTTGGATTTCTGAAGCCGCATTTCGCATTTAACAATAAATTATGAAATCCTAAAAAGGGATTTCGCTTACGGATAATCCCTCCATCTCTTCCCTAAATATTTATAGAAAAAACTTCTATTTTGGATTATTTTCAGGCTAGGCCATTTGGAATAATGCCGGGAGCAGGAACAGCGTTGGAAGTGCACGTCCGGGGAGTCGACAAGGTGCTAATTCAAGATTAAGTTGTCTTAATTAAACTTACCCCAGACTGAGTCACCAAAACATAGCGGTATTAAATGCAAATGAACAACCGCAAGATGAGGTACACCAACAACAGCAAGAAAACACTTTTAACCCCTCCCCAATTGTACCCTATTATATGGGGTTGTTTTGGTGCAAACCTCTCAAGATCTCAGTGTGCATTTCGAACACAAGAAAACAAACAAAACGGAACTAGATCGCCGTGAACTCTCATCAAAATTGCAGAGATTTGTTCAACTTTTTCATCCTCTGTTTAGTCAGTATTTTAAAGTTGTTGGTGTTTTTGTTGTTGTTGTTGTTGTTTTTTTTTGCCTCATAAAGTTTAACGTCATTTTATTTAACGTAACCCGTAGGTTTAGAGCTAAGTTCGCAAACTTCGTCTGGCTTTGAGGAATGATGTCCGTTATCAGCCTCGGTATCTGATCAAACATTTCTTCAGGATGCGCCCCTGAACCTACTGCATGAGCTCATTTTGTTCTCATTTTCATAGTGAATTTTTGTTTTGTTTCTCTTAGCCATACATTTTTGGTGGACTCATTGGTAGAGATGACGTGTTTGACAGCATCACCCTTCAGATCTAATGCCGCCGGACTATGATGATAATTACTATTAAGGCAGGAAACTGCCCACCTATCCCTCCCCTAAGCCAACCTTAACACCTCTCACTTAGGGTAAAATTGTGCCTTGGGGAGGGGTAGGTGGGCAGTCTCCCACAAACCTGGCAAGATTTACAAGGGACACTTCGTCGTATGCGATGTGTTTACGATAACCTTACAACCCGGCGAATACGGCACTTGCAAGTTAGTTGTAGGTTAGCATTTGTGTGGATAGCTTTTTCGCCTTCACGTAAACCATACCGAATAGTGCTTCAGTTAACGCATAAGGACGGTGATTGCGGTGCGATCAATTCCTGGCTTATCTTTAAAGTGGAGAGTCACATCGGATAAGTGTTCATACAATAACCGACTGATAGCTTTTGGTGTCGGCACGAGAAGCTATCCTATGCAACTCGTTTCGTAGGCTTTAATGTCGCAAACACATTTCATGCATCAAGAAATAGGGTTCGTGCAGATTTTTGGATGCAAAATTGACGACTTTTCTGGCTCTCGTCGTTTTACGTTTTCGCTGGCCGAAGACGCAACACGCGTTGAACGCGTTTTCATACGTTTGAGAGGAAACTGCAGACATCAATGTAGCACACCAACCTATTTACGGTGTGCGACAAGGGTAGTCTGCAGCCTTAAAGGTAAACGAGATGTGAAATGAACCAAAAAATATCCTTATCCGTAATCGTTAACTTCTTTTAACCTAAGCTTATTTACTTGACAGTCTGCAAGTCAGTTTGCGGTAAGAACATGCAGATTCGACGATTACTTTTGTAAAAAAAATGCGTGTGAAATTCAATTACTTAATAAATATAAGGTGAAAATTGCCTTTGACAAGGATTAGGGCTCGAAAATCAGCTTTCGAAGCTCTTGTAAGTGTCAAGCTTATCTGTAGTTATAACTCCGTAGAAAAATTGTTTTGTTACATAGCTGCGTTTTTTCCAACAGTGCACTCTCTCGTTGGTTACTTCGACGTCACATGACATCTGACAATAAAACGTTTTCCCGCTAAAATTCTCAAAGCGGGCAACAGTGCAAAGTCTATGACGTCACAGGGTATACGTGCTGTGTTACCCGAAAATGTCGACTGCTAGCTGAGTGTTACTTTCACAAGTAGAAATATTTCTTCGTTGGCTATACAACGAATCACGTTTCCCAAGAATCTCAACACTGAGATTTCCAGGAAACAAAATGAATTTTTTTCCTTGACTGTTAACATAGTATACCTCAAAACACATCCGTTTTTTATATTATTCGTAGTTACACCACACTGTATATTAAGATTTCATTTATTCAAACTACCAAATTACACTTCACGACGTACTGATGAAATTATTTACATTGTTCAGGATATTTGTAAGTACTAAAATAGTGTTTCTATTAAGTCTAGTTGCAGCCAAATGGGTGCTGGTCGCCATAATGGCTTCGAACTACAAGTACTAGTGTGACTGGATTTAAAAGAATAACCATTTACTTGAATAAGATTAGCCCTAGCTGAGAATGTAATGGTACAGGAAACTTTCCTTCCGCCAATGGTAAAATACAAATACTTTTCAAGAATAAAAATGAGATACAAACTAGACTGCTTGCTGTCCTTGTTTTCTCTTAGATCCGTCGAGTTCTTAGACAGTCTGCGCGTAGGGCCAAAAAACGCTTTTGGCCAAAAAGGGACTTATTCTTACGACCTCGTTTCTCGCGTGTGCTAAATAGAAACACGCTGTCTGTCATTGAGTATGTGAACGGCAAAAATTGTTCTCATCGAGTCTGGTTCGTTTTAGAAATATTCGGGAGGAGGGGGAGAGGTGTGTGTTTTTTGGCACGGGTGTCTTAGTAATCTTGAAAGTAGTTGTAGTTATACATATTAGTGAATTCTTGTGTGCAATTTTTGCCTTGAAAGCATTATGTTTTCCAGTCACTGATCAAGTTATAGTAATTCAGAACATTGAAAGATTATAGCAGAACTAGCTGTCACACAAAATTTGCGCCTGGTATACTAGATACCTTCGGATAAACTCTGCTTCAAACACAAAGAATGCAATCCTCATTCATGAGCGTTTTTGATAGCTGACGTTTTCCTTTTAATTTGTCAACGTTTTCTAAGGGTAAATTCCTTTGCTAATAAAACGAAATGTAAACAAAAATAACACAATGAAGTAAGCCATATTATGTGGGCAAGCAATTTGCTTCTCAAAGAGTTCCATTGACTTGGCTATCTTTCGCAAAGTCTCCACACACTATGTAATTATAGCCACGGTAAGATTACATCGGTTTGTACAATATCCATGAGTCAGTAGACAACTGCATTCAGTGGGTCAGCACGAATGCTATTCAGATCCAGGTTCGCATCTGCTTCCTCATCAATTTCTCCTATTACAGCACTGAAAACAAAAGATAAGTGTTCAATGAAAATGGTGCAATAATTTTCCAACTGGGGTTTGGGCTAACCTTTGACTGTGACAATCGCTGAAAATAGGTTAAGCAACCACAGGGAACACCGAGATCATAAATGTATTAAAACAGCACCTCAGCAATCACAGTAGCCGAGAAAACAGCTGACATTATTGCCACAACACCACTGGTTTCAGAGATCATTATTTTTGTGGGGAAACCAGAGGAGAAATGGAGGTTCTATTGTTAGTAGTAAAGAATATATTTTTATTTATTTTATGGATCTTACATGTTGTCTCCTCTTATAATGTAAAGACCAAGCATGACTTGTTCCACTCCACTACCGGAAGAAAATACTCGCTCGTGGCTCTCATCTAAAATTAAATTTACTGTCTGATCAAAGCCTTTGAGTGTTCCCTGAAGACAAAAAATATGTACATAGGAATTAACATTGATAAAAAATCAATACCTGACAAATAGAGGTATAGAGTGATTTTACTTAACCCATGAAACAATATCTAACAATTAGTGCCCAATAGTTGCAAGTAAACAAAGAAAAAAACAATGAAATCAGAGTGTAATACTGTGAAGTAGTTGTCTATCTATCACTCTAATCAGTGAATCCATGTTAGATGAATATGGGGGGTGTTTATTACAAGAAATATTTTATCATTGTTTGACTCTTTATTAGGGACAACTGACCTGTAGATTAAGGGAAAGAAAACTTACCACAATCATTCTACCATCCTGAGTTATAACTGCTACTGTATCTGAATATCACAGCATCAAAGAGGGCAACAGTTATTTTTTAATTCAGCTGTTAAGAAGCAAGGGTTCACGTGGTGGCTCCATTTGCAAGAGACGTATGAGGTTGATAAGCTTATAAATAGCCCCGGGGAGTTGGGGGAGGGGGTACTTGGGTTAATTTTTGCTAGGTATATGCCGCTGGCCTCTCAGAACCCCTACCCCATTATAGTACGGTTCTGTGGCCAGATTATAAACCCCATCTTAGTCACTTTGGGAACAAAGTGATTTTCGCAAGCCCAACTTGGTCACTTTCTTATTACACATCTACCTTATAAAGCCTTTTAACTTGGTCATCCTGGAATAGACTGACCAATTTGTTAAACTTGTAAATCTTTCTACTTTTAAATCCCTACATACCTGAATTTTCTGACTCCCAAAATCCTGAAAATGTGCAACCCCATTCTAGTAACTCTTTTAATAATGCAACCCCACATGCACAATAGTTAATCCAGTTGTGAAAATGCGACCCCATCCAGCGGCACATACCCATTAACCTACCACTAGGAAGAATCCCCCCCCCCTCCCCCGGATATTATAGCTCTGGAGCCTACTTCAAAAAGCTATTACAACAGATGCTTATCAATCATGCCTTAATTCCGGTGTGATGAGGGAAAAATTCGCCCTCGCGTATTCGCTGAGTCTTCCACATTAGGATGACAAGTTTATCGTGCCACTTTCAGCATCTACCGGGCATAATAACACAGGACGACTTTCCATTGCGAGATTCTTATAATCTGTTAATGTTGTGCTCTTGAGATCAAGCGTAATTCATTGTTCGATTCAATTACTACTGATCTTACGAAGTTCTATGTTAGATTTGCAACCAGCTTCCCTAAATTCATCTACGTTTCTACGTTTTAAATAATAAATCAATGAGATTTAGTAAAGGATACGATTGACATACGACTCCAGCGTGGACGCCATGTTGTTTGTTCTGATTTGAGCTTTGTAACCACTCTAAAATTGCGCTACTCTTCAGAACGGTTATATGACGTAGTTGTCTTCAAACCGTTTTCCCGGAAAAAATGCAAATTACTAAGTAAAGGTAAGATGACCCGTTTCGCTGATTTTAGTTGACGTTTGAGTAATAATTTGGTTAATTTGAGGAGCGAATGGATGGAAGAAAGTGTTTTAAGTGCGGCCAAACGGGGCACCTGAAAAGAGACTGCCCGGACAAAACGAACAACAATTTGCAAAGGGTGAAATGTTTTGCCTGTGGGAGACATGGGCATTTTCAAAGAGACTGTCCAAACGTGGCTACAGGGGAACAGGTAGATTCAAGAAGTAACGCAAAACCATCTGCAAGTAGACAGCACGTTGAGGTGGTATATCCAGAGTGCAAAACGACCTTTATAGACACTCACTGTCATTTGGAATACATCTTTGAAAGAGTTAGACACGACGGCACTTTTACTGACTTTAGAAAAAGGGTGTCGTTCCCTCCAAATTTTGAGGGTTGCATTACAACGTATTGCGACCCAGCAGCGTTTTCATCTTTTGGCACATGGCGCGAGACCTTGTCCGAAGAAGGCGTATGGGGGACATTTGGATGTCACCCACATAACGCCAAATATTATAATGATGAGCTAGAAGCTAAAATTATTCAGTGTTTGGAACACCCTAAAGCAATAGCATTGGGAGAGGTAGGGCTAGACTACTCATCACATTCAACCTCCCCCGCTGAAATCCAAAAACAAGTCTTTACTAAACAAGCTAATTGGGCTGTGACGTTGGGAAAACCTTTGGTAGTTCATTGCAGAGATGCTGAATCTGACACACTGGAAATTCTCCAAGCTTGTGTACCTCATGACTGGAAAATACATCTGCATTGCTTCACAGGATCGGTGGATTTTGCTATGAAATTTTGCCAGGAGTTCCCAAATCTCTTTATAGGGATAACTGCATTGGTGACTTTTGCAAAGGCTAGGAATATTCATGAACTCGCATTTGACTTGCCATTAGAGAGGATCCTGCTGGAGACAGATGCTCCTTATTTTGTGCCATCTCAAGTTGCTGATAAACGAAACAAGTGGAGTAATCCAGGCATGGCCATTTTCACTGCACAAAGGATTGCTGAAATTAAGGGTGTTACTTTAGAGGAAGTTTTGGAGACTGCAAGAAAAAACGCAACAAAGATGTATGGTGTGTGATGTACTTGATGTATCCTTTTATTTCAGAATATTTTTATATAACTGGTTTTAAACACTTTTATAAACAGTTTTGATTGCTGCAATGCTTAAATAGGTATCCAGAACATTAAGTTATTTTTTCTGAGGCAAGACGGGGGGTGCTTATTAATTATTTCATTTTTATGACTCAAATTCCATGACATTACTTGTTTTTCAAATAAAATTAGATGTAAACTGAGCCAAATTAGAGGATATTGGTAGATCACCAAATTATGGGAAAATGCTTGGATCTATTAATTGGGGTGTCTGGAACAGGACACGTTGTTGTTACCTTGAGAATTTCTCGGCCTTTTGTCCCCTCATTTGCTCTCCTGAGAGCCATAGTTGCAATGTTATCGAAAGGATTCCTTATAGCATGAATGAACTTGACCTAAATGCCAAGTTTCTGCTCCAGTTTCTTAATAGCCTCAAGTCCTTCAGTGTTAATCAAAATTCCTGAGGCTTGGGTCTTCTTACTCAAATTCCATGACATTACTTGTTTTTCAAATAAAAGTACACGTGAAATGAGCCATATATTAAATTATTGTTGTGGTAGAAATACAAGTTTATGCAGGGCTGTGCACGGGCAGAGCCCAGTGACCCCTGCTTTCTCACTTTTCCTCTTGGGAAACTAGGGAATCTGGTAGACTGCCCACCTACCCCTCCCCTAAGCCAAAATTAACTCGTACTTCTCCCTTAAGGCAAAATGCTGGCTTAGTGGAAGAGAAGGTGGGCAGTTTCCCACTGCTTTCTGACTTGAAACTCTAATCAAAGTGACAAAATCTCCCCTCCCTACACCCCTATTTTTTGACACAAAAAATACCAGCCAATCACCCACAGTTAGGTCTGGGCCTGGGCTCTCCGCTGACACCTAGCAAGACGGCAAGCAAGCCCCCTTGTTTTTTTTTTGGCTACACTGGCTTGAACATGGGCGATGCCCATGTTCAAACGAAAACTTAGCGGGCACCTTTTAGGAAGATCACACCAGTATATACGTATATAAATGTATAACTTGTATGTCAGACATTTGTCTGTGACTCAAGAAATGTTCAACAGAATATTTAGCTGCTGGCCAGCCAAAATTGTTGAGAACTCTTTCAATGATATCTGCCTTTTTGAATGTGAACTTCTCTGGTCAGCAGTTCTCCTAGTTAGTGTCATGGTACTTCATGCCTGGGAGTATGAACTGATCCCACATTTTCATGAAAAAATCACGTTAATATTTATGAGGTTGTAGTTAAACTGACTTCAAATGGGAGCAGAAATTTGTACTTTATAAACCCCAATTTACATCAATTTTATGGTACTTTAAGACCAAAATTTAGGAAATGCATGGCAGAAGTTCTATCTGATAGCCTCAGCTGGGGCTAGCAGAGAAACTGTTTTGCGAGCTTCCTTTCGTCAGAAATTGTCCAAAATTTTATAACACAATGTAAGACCAAAAGTAACAACTACATTTTGGAAAAGCTACTCACTCAGTGCTAGTAGCCTGAAACGAGATCTTTCCCTTCCCTGGGCCAGTCTATTTTCTCTATGTATGAGGGATCTTGACTTTGTATTTATAAGTACTTTCGTTATTTATTATTTATTTCCATTTTCACTTTTAGGCTTGAGTTAAGGTGAGATGAATTGTCACTATAACTTTTACATTTGTGGATGGAATCCTATGGTGTTACCATTCAGATGAAACCTCTTTAGCTAAACTTTGCTTAGTATTAGTTGCTTCTGAGAGGTTTATATATAATGACTTTTATAACATCAAAGTTATACTTTTTCTAGTATTAGTAATAAAAGGGTTAATCTTCAAATGAATATCTGTGAAGAAACGGATACTGTGCTATCAGACTCCGCACTCTTTTGATCTGTTTCCCAGTCCACTCTATGTTATGCCGTGTCTGTGAGGGCCTTGGGTCCACAATTGAAGCACAGTGACGAAGGTATTTTTCAGTGCATGTGATTTCTAAGAAGTCACAAATCTTTACGAGCGTTTTTCTAGTTTCCATCATGACATCTATACTTGCTACATCATGTACACGACCAGGAAAGTTCTTTTGTACTTCAAAGCTGCCTTGTGCTAGCCGGCCATAGCTGGAGATGCTACCATCAAGTTCCTTGGAATAATTTACCTGAAAAAAAAGTGAAACAAAATGAATTAGTGTATTCATGTACAACTCAGGGTTTAGGTCTGACAGTTCAACAAATGTAGTCACATCCCCTTAAAAGTTTACGCCCCAAGAGTGACCAATATCAATTTTCTCCTATCAATGTAAATACATAATCAAGAGGAAATGTTTTGAGAATTTTGTTAAAGATCACCAAAGGCAAAATTCTTGGATCTATTATCAAATTCTCTCCACTTATTATTTAGTTCCTTCCCCCACCCCTCCCTCACTATTTCGGGAAATGTGAGGATTCAGTCTGGAGAATTTGTATTTGGATATTGACGCTTAAAGGCTTTAGACAGACACGTCTGGGACAGGACACATTGTCGTTACCTTGAGAATTTCTTGGCCTTTTTTCCTCTCATTTGCTCTCCTCAGAGCCATGGTTGCAATGTTATCGAAAGGATTCCTTATAACGTGAATGAACTTGACCTGAACGCCAAGTTTCTGCTCCAGTTTCTTAATAGAATCAATTCCTTCGGTGTTGATCAAAATTCCAGAGGCTTGGGCCGCCTTCTTATCGCCAATAACCTATGGAAAATATCGTAAATCAAATAGCGGTTTTGTAAAAACAAGCCTAGACAAGAAGTTTGAGAAAGCTTGAATGACGTCACAGATTAGAGAAAGCGCTATGTTATATCTCGTGATAATTGTTTCACTTTGTCCGTTTAGGTCGTCTCCGCCTATGTATAAAGCGCGTTTTCATTCTGTATCCTCTATGGTTCCGAAATATTACAACAGAGCAAAAATTCAAGCCCACCACCTCACTCCCAAAACCATCCACCGCCTACCACTGTCGAGTATGAACTAACATGCCATGCGCCCGAAGATTAATGGTGCCGAAAGACTGCATATTTCTAGCGGTTATCGAAAGGAAACGATCATGATAGCCAAATGTAAAACTGCAGTCGCAGGCGAACGAAAGTTTACAGTTGTTTTTGGCAACAAAACCAGTCTCCCAAAGCCACACCCACTCGAATCGGGATATTTTTGAACCGTATATTTTTTACTCCATTTACACGAAACGACCGAATCCAGTGAATCCGCTCACCGAATTCGCATCTTTTTTAAACCGCTCTCCAGAGTGGTTTAATGCCCCGTCTACACGAAACCGGGTAACAAAATATGCGGTTTTAAAAATGTCTGGATTCGTGTGGACGGGAAAATCCTTAAATAAAACTTACCGAGACCAGGGTTTTATGAGACCGCGAGACCGAGCACCCCAGCCAAACCCTTGTTTTCACTAAAACTGCTGGACGCCAGAACCTGGTTGGGGTCATTCTTATCTAAGGTCTTCCTGTGGACGGGGCCTCAATCATTCTCGTCCCCAGAGCCCGTCGTTTCTTGGTCACGTGGTCGTTACCAATTAAACTGAGTGGCTCTGGGGACGAGAATGGGCCTTAATGACCTTGAGTGTCACCTACCTGTATACTTCCATTGAACGACCCTTGCCATTCGTCGTGCACGTTGTAATGATACTTCACGGGCTTGTTACCAACTGGCCTCGATCGCACGCCAAACATGACATCATAGTGAGACTTTGCAAGAAGCAGTTCGTAAATATAATATTTCTTCCTCAGCGTCAATAACGGGTTTTCAATCCACTCTTTCAAGATGTTAAAGTCGTTGGCAATGATGACATTTGGGTGGGCATCTAGCAACGAGGCAAGTAATGTATGGCGGCTTCTGTTGTAGCCAATGAAAAGCAGAAACGTTTTTACTTTGTCGTACATTTTTGCGTCTATGTGCGGTAGATTAGGGACCTGTGAAACTAAAGGTATTGAGGTTTTATTATTTTTGGCTTACTGAAGGTCCACGTTTACTATACGGCTTCAGTAAAGCATTTGAAATCCGTCATTGTTGGTACAGTGGAACCACTCATTTCGCAGTAGCGGATCCAGGGGAGGGCCCCACCTCTCTTCCTTTATTTTTAGACCAAACTGAGGCCCGAAGGGCCGAGAAAAATTTTTTGGGAGATCGCCCCGCCCCTTATCTAAGGGTCTCTTCTAAGGGTCCCTTATCTAAGGCACTGTTTGGGACACCTCTATTCAAAAGGACACCTCCAATCAGAGAAATGAAAATCGTTGACATAATCTTTGTATTTATTACCTCTACAGAAGGGACACCTCTATTCCGTGGAAAATGACACTTTTTCCGGGTCTCGAAACCTGGATTTAAGCTCCATTCAGGGGACACTCAACACTCAAAATGCGACTGACAAAGAAAATCGCTCACTGATTATTTACGGTATACACTCGTCGCAAAAACGAGAGCTCAAAACTTGAACTATCTCACTTCCATCGATGCATTGTGCTTATGGGAATCAAGAGTTAAAGTCACAGAGATAAGTTTCTCATAATTTTTTTATAAACATCTAGCTGCTTGAAATGATGACTGCAGCAGATGCCGAGGCAGAATAAAGAGTATATGTATTTTATTTGTTGGTTAATTTTTAACAAACCCCAGCCCAACCTCTATTCAGGGGACACTTGCGTTGGTCCCACGGGTGAAGAGAGGTTCCGCTGTTTGTGCGTTTCCATACATGCAACTAAATTTTGAGTTTGTCGTACAATTCTTGTTCTGCCTTTACCCCGATCAAAGACTGCGATCCAATGAAAATTATCAAGTGCTAGTCTGTTGTTATCTTCGAACCTCGATGTGTAATGCGCCTGAGACCCCGATACGGCCTTGTGATACTGCTCAGTAGATGGCCCATTTTGAAAGCCGTCGATTGAGTTCGAGTGGATGGCATATATCGCATATTGCTGCTTTGTGTGTCTGGGATTCACATTGGCTTTCACTAACCGGAACAGAGGACAGAGATCGGTCATTCGCACGGTCACGTGACGGTTTTTTTAACTGATGGGGCGCGTGAAGCTCCATGCTATAAATGTCACGTCTGAGCCACAGACGTACGTAACTAAACTTCTTTTTGTGAATGTGAAAAATCAAACTTCAGAAAATAGCAGGGAATTTATTAGATAAAATTGTGCGTGAATGGAACGGTCATCTAGAACTTTTTTAGCCTTCCTCAAGTAATAAAAAATTCTAGGCAATATTTGCTTGTCCGAAAAAATAATTTACAGAAAAGATTCGTTGGGTGCCCCTTATTAGTACCAAAGCTTAACCCCTTCCCCTCTACTTCTCCTACCTTTAATTAAGTAATCTGGCGTTAGATACGTTGACAGAAGTAGATAGACTGCAATAGCAGCCAGGGAAATGGCGGCTAGTGAAATCTTGGACGGCATTTTTATTTGCTATGATTCCCAGTCTGAAAAACAAAGAAAAACAGTTTTTTCCAAAAACAGAGTATTTGTTTGCCAGTAAACCTCCCCGCCCCACCCCTGACTTATACTTCTCATGCATTATTATACCTAATGTTTTATAAACATGATAGCGTGCTTGTTAACATGGTTAAGAAATTTTAAACTTTAGAATATTCTTTCAAGAAACTGTAGTTACTCTTTGTTAGTCTCTGTCTTCCAGGCTGTCAATCGCGACGAGCGAAAAAGCGAAAAAAAAAAACAATAATGAGATAAAAAAGAGGAAGCGAGGGCGGCCCTCTGTCGCTTGTCAGTAGTTTTCCTAGCCTGCGAGCAAGCTCTCCAATTATGACGAGGGAAGCGAGCCACGTGACGCGCGAGCAAGCGGCGAAGCTGCGAGGGGCGTCTCCTATCGCGTGTGGCTCTCGCGTGAATTCTCGCGACTCCTCCAAATGGAAGGCTATGGATTTCCGGCTTCCTCCAAAGGCTGAGCGGGGCGTACAGACTCGCGAGAAGCGCGAATGGGATGCGATGGGAACAAGCGCCCAGCACGATTGGTGAAGAATGGGAAGGAAAAACGGACAGAGAAGTTGAAGGTGCCTCGCTCGCTTAGTCTTACGGATGCTTTAGGTCCTATGATTTGTCAGCGAGATCTGTGGGTCAACTTATATGCTACGTCTTCCCGGCCGATATTTCTTTTTAAACAAGCTCACTCATGCTAAACGAATTAAAGTACGCTCATGATTGGCCAATTCAATCTAAATTGATAATCATATATCCTAATCTGTCTGTTTATTTTTAAATCAAACATGCACTACAATCAGATCATCTGTAGCTACCGTTCCTTGTTATAATAATCGTCCAAAGTAAAGAAAAAGTGAATGCATACATTACCTGTACGTTGGCTTTTCGGTATTTGTTAAGTCAGCTATTAACAGTTTCTGCGATGGTCTCTCTTGTACTAAAATTGCACCCGTGATAACCCTGCTTACATCGGTAGATGACCTTTTAGCATGTTCAATGAACAAGTGAAATTTAGATTGAAGGCAACATTTCCCAACTGAAATTGTCTATTTAACAATTGTCCCAAACTTATTCATTTGTTATAAAAATCGTCTCCAAGGAAACGAATGCTCCCGCAGGTTGAATATAAGCTGCTGCGTTTTTTCATAGAACTTTTCGTTGTTGGGTAGCATGTCTTTTGTTTTGTATCGATCAATTTGAATGAAAATGCGCCAAAAGATCTTAAAAGGTAGTTTAAGACCTTAAAATATTTTTTTATTTCTTTATTTCATTTATTTATTTTCTCCATTTATTTTATATTACAGGGCATTTATATCATATTACAGATTTGAAGATGAGAAGTGCGAGATATGGTAAAACTAATTACATGCCCTTTGATTAAATTACAGTTTTATTTTAGGATAAAAGAGAAAAAATAGAAGTATATGAAGTATGAGATATGTAAGAGAGAGGAAAAAAGGAAAGTACACAAAAATATAGAACAGTGAGAGTCGGTGTGGCGATGATTAATACTGAGCAATTTAATAGTACTATAGGGGTCTTGTAAACAATTTTTTAGTTGTCTTTTCACGTATAGATAAAGGAATATCATTCCACTAACAACATAAGTTTTTTATATTTATCCTTAAGCTACTGAAATTTAGGTGCTACTTAGGTGCTATTTAGATGCACTTCTGGTGTCATAAAAATGACCGGTTACAAGGGAGTAATTCCCTAAATAAAGTAATGCCAGCCTTGTGGGCCAGTTATTAATACAGAGTTTAAACGATGTTTAACATTAAGGGCGCGTTCGATTGCCGGCATTCCGGCCGAATAAGAATAAACGGAATGAACTCTAGAACTCACTTATTTTGGCGTTCATTGCATTGCAACATCTGGAAATCTGCTTGAAATAAAATATTTCTTTTTGTGTTTATGACGTTTAATTGACGAGAGATTTGAAAAAAAACTTTTGCGCTTCAATTTTTTAATATTCCGGAGTACGCTCAGTGGAAGGTCACTTTTAAACATCGTTTGCAGTTGAAAGCTGAGTGTCAAGAAGGCCCTTAAGCCAAAATACAGAGTATCATTTTGGCACTAACAGACACCTTGCATAAGGTTGATTTTAGGAGTAGAGCCCATTTTTATCTAAGTTAGATTTCTTTGAAGTAAAAGGCTCGTACCCCGGCTTCAGTACGTTATAGACTTCTAACTAACTAACTAAGAGAAAAGAAAGTAGGTTATCTTGCCCCACACGATACAACGCTACACGTTGCTAGGCAATCTTTCTAAATGTTAACAATTGCTTTTGCGCATACGTGAAAGTTAATTTAATTTATTGTCAAGCTTCATGTCCGATATTCGTATACATGTGTGCACATGCGAAAAGCATTTACCGCTTGATTGTGCTATCGTATTGTAATCTGCAAACTTCTCATCTCTTTGCCACATTTATTCCAAGGCAGTTAATTCAAATTTGTTTATTCTACAATTTTATGAAATGGATGATAGTTTTCACATAGGTTATTAGAAGCACTTGACAATTGCGAGAGGTATGATTGTGATTTGCATAAAAAAAATACAGCTTCTACCTCAAGTTAAAGGAACTGTCTTAGGAAAAGTGATATTTTTCACGACAAGTGATAGAGTGATAGTTTAAAACCTACAGTTTCCCTGATGCACGGCCCAAGGAAAAAATGTTAGTATTTGGATAGTTTGCCATCTAAAACTCTGTGTGAAAGTCATCAATTTATCTCCCATGAATACCATCAATTTGACGCATGACGAAAGGAGAAATTTTCTTTTTTTTTTTTTCCATCTTCTCTTCTTTTCTTTTCTTTCCTTTGTTTTACGTCCTTTTATGCCCCTGTCGCTTCTTATCTATCTGCTTAATAGAGGTGATTGTTATGGTTCAATGAAACCACGATTGATCAGCACAGCGAATAATAAACCTTCACTGGATCAGTTCTTAGTGCCAGGGCTGCCATAGCCATTATCTTTTAGTCATCATCGTTGTCATCATCACCATTCTAATCATCATCATCGTCATCACTATCGTCATCGTCATCATCATCATCATTATCATCACTGATATGCAGAGCGCGAATTTGCTGGTTAATACACCCCAGGGATACTATTGGCTGTTCGAAAATGTCATGACTTCAATCTCTGTCGTAATGGTTCTAGTAATAATCATCAGCTTCCTCGTCACTCTAATCATCATTATCATCATCAGCAGCGGCAACTTCACGACCATTATCATCATCGTTACCTTCATCATCACAAAAACTATCATCATCATCATCATCATCATCATCAACAACAACAACATCACCATCATGACTATTTACATTAGACATATTGCTCATCCGTTCTTTCTGGGGATTTCTCAGCAGCTTTATCGCAATCGTTCTTTCTTTCTACCAGCAAAGAAGACATCCGTGATCTCCTCCTCTCGAATAAGGATTTCAGCGCCGTTTTAAAATCTCTTCTGAAGAATGTATACAGCATAGGATTAATGACTGAAGTAGTATATCTGACGAGAACAAAAACGTGCGATGGAATTCTTAACTCATCCCCATTGTAGGATATCCTAAACAACAGCATCAGAACATACCATGGTAACCAACAGACCAGGAATATAGTTGCCATGGAAGCGAAGAGTATCAAGCACCTTTTTTCAAGAGCAGCTTGCCTGACTTGTCGACTGGACCTCTGTTTTGAAGGCTTCCTGCAGTGGGATCTGCCTTGCTTTGAAATAGCCAGAAAAATCACCACAAACGCGTATATCATGAATGAATAAGGCAACAGGAAGACAGTAATTAGGCAAAATATTACATGCCCGATGGACAAGTGTGTTTGTAGGGCTTTATCTTCCATGTTAACCCAGGCGAAGGGGATAAAAGCCACAAAAACAGACGCTACCCAAACAGCACCCAGTGCTTTGATGACTGTCTTCCTTTTTATCAGTCGATGAGTCACTGGCCAGATTATCGACAGGTATTTCTCGGTTGTCGCAGCGAGGATATGATAGCAAGCCGATATTGCGGTCAGATTGTTGAGAACGCCGACCAGAAACACCAAGTGAAACTTCAACTCCGCAGAGGTTATGACCGGTGTGAACGCCACTAAGATGAACAGAGGAATGTTTATAACCCCAGTGGTAAGATCGCATATAGCCAGGCTGAAAAGGACGTAGTTTGGCCGTGTACGAAGCTCTTTTCTTTTTTCAAATAAAATGAAAACCAACCCGTTTGCGATGACAATTAGTATCATAATAGGAAGGAGCTGAGCGATAGCCTCTCCATCAACCTCGTTCGCTTTGACGCGGCCTGCCTGCACACTTGGACTGGTCTGATTTGACATCTCTGTGACTACAGGCAGTCAATGTAAAAGTTATAGCTTGTCTTGTTGTGTTATATCTTGTAGTCTTTTCAGGGAATTTCGAACCTGAAAGGGGTGAATGGAATTAATAAAATTGTATCACACTTTTATGCTATATCACAGTTCTGAATGGTTATTAAAAACTTGTTTCATTAGCATAAAGTTTTAGCTCTTGCTTGCTAATGATAAAAAACTTTTAAACGATGACTGAGGTTTCATTTAAATTGTTCAAACATTATTCTCCAAGGTTGTTCTTGCTTCGGCGTTTTGTTATCCATTTTAAGCTGTAGTTATAAAGCTGGCTCGAACTTATCTGTTAGCGTGTTTGTGACGTTTCTAAGACCCTGTTTACATGGAGTGGGGGACCCCGGTTTAGTGGGGTAGGTTTCTTTTGTTTTGTGTCCCCCAGAGCGTGAAAACAAAAGAAACCAAGCTCACTAGACCGGGGTCCCCCACTCCATGTAAACAGGCCCTAAATTGCACCTGTGGAAAGATTTAAAGATTCCATCGATTCCTTTAATTCTTTGGTATCCCAAGCGAAGATTGGCGACACTTTAAGCAACTATTATTAATTTCCTCGTAGGTATAAAAGCGTCCGAAATGTCATTACATTTTAGCACCGTATGTTCCCTTTCTAATGCGAAATATTAAAGCAGCCAATTCCAGCTAATAGATTAATTTGTTTATCATCTCATTGTGCAAATATGGAATATCATTACATGTACACTATAAGTACATTTACATATGATTTTTTTTTTTCATTCTCGTTATCCCCGAGTGGCAAACTTTCCGAGCAAATGAAAGCAAACCAAAGATCTTGAATATATTTTGACAGAAATCTCAAGGACCAAAGCGATTTCCAGCATTGCATCTAGAAGTGGTTTGAAGTACTGCAATTGGCCGGTGGCTTTATATCGTCTCCAAAAGGGATACTAAGGTGATAATCACTGGTAAGAGCGCCTTCGATCCGTGGATACTATATTTTGCTTTGTAAAAATTTTCCTTTAAAATAAAGGAACAACGTGGATGCAAAGTCAGAAAAATAAGAGATAAAGAATTTAACTCTGCATGCCGCAATAAGTTCTTCTTGTAGCGCTCACTGTGTTTGCTGTAGGCACAGCTGCCCCAAGCGCGAATTATGACCGTAAAGTTCAAAATTTAAGGATTTGTATGGGAGGAAAAAAAAACATTTTTTCCGTTCCATGGGTCTATATGCACTCCGCTACTTTTTCGTCAACGAACACAACATTTATTTTAGCATAGCATTAGTTATAAGTTAGAAATGACCAGCGTTATGTTTAGCAAGATTTGTGATGATGTTCGTCAATTGTTTTTTTCATTTAGGGTGCCATAATCGCAGAAGCAGTTAAATCAAATTAAGTTTGTAAGTGACAATTTTGGTTTTATTATATAAACACCAATGAAATACCTGGTGAGCTTTCGCGCGAAAACATGAAATCCTATCTATCACCTCTCTTTCACTTTCAAGAATGGCAAAAACAAAATAGATCGTTTTTTCTTTTTAAGACTCAAAAAATTTTTTAGGTAGTACCTTTGGTACCGTAGACGTTTGGTTTGAATGGTTACACCAGAGGGTTTCATCCCGAGACTACAAACTTAGATTGACATACTAAACCAACAGTACCATGTCAAAGTACAGAAAGTACCGTTGAAGAGGTACTGAAGAGACTGGGGTTTCGTTTGAATGGTAACACCATAGAGCTTCATCCACAGACTCACAGACTTTCTTATTGATGTTGTTGTCCAATGTAGTTTTCGGTTTTTTCAATTTGGTTTCCAGTTTCTTTGTTCACTCCATAAAAGTGAACGTGTCGAAGCTTGAGTATTCCAGGTCTTTCGGTACAACGTGACTCACCAACAAACTTGACTAGAGTGTATTAAAGATGTAGGATGGCATGAAGTTTGGTATCTGTGCGACCAATAGAACTACCCATAACAGATAGATGTTCGATTATTACTATTATTATTACTATTATTATTATATAATAATAATATATAAATACATATATATACATATATATATATATATATTAATAATCACAGGAGTTCAGGCTTCAGGAGTAATCATTGATCGTTTAATCAATGCTCTTCAATTAAATGAATTGAGCGCTCTACGGAATACGTTCTACCGAGAATACAAGTATTTATATATATATATATATATATATATATATATATATATTATTTGTTAGTAGTCTTTGGATAGTCATTTTACGACAATTCTCTTTCGTACACAAGAAGAATGTACCTAGGGTATATATTTTAATATTTCATATTCTTGAATCTGTAAATAGTCCTGTTTTTTTAAATCTGTGAATAAAGTTTTGTATTATTATTTATTATTATTATTATTATTATTATTATTATTATAATAATAAGAAGAAGAACGCCTAGTGTTTAAACGCGCTTCATTACCATTGTTCAATTTGAGTAACCACACTGAAATAAGTTGGTATTTCATAAACCTGTCATGGTTTTCCAGTTTTTCTATTTGCACTTTCTTCTCTCTCTCTCTTTCTTTTTAAAGCAATTTCTTCATTATACATTAGGATTAGTCGATTAAGAAAATCTTGTCGGAAGCATTTCAATATTTGTTAAGGAAACAATGTTTCATCCTGCGCCTTCGCTATGGGCTCCTAAAATGGGCCATTAATTTACTCGGAGCTCTTTCATCTCGCAAGCAACGCACCTGGCCATTGCATTAAGGCCGATTTAAGAGAATCCTTTGTAAATTACCATTCTATGACATACCTTAAAGTCTGCGAAATTACTTAACTTCCCTACAGTAATCCGTATTTGCTTGGTATAACATATGTATCTATATGGAAAACAAAAATAAAGTAAAACGACGAATTTCCGAAAACAGCCTGGGAAGTGCATCATATTTGGCCAAAAACTTCCAGAAAAAAAATATACGAAACGAAAACAACATAAAAGAAACAAAAAGGCTAGAAATCTAAGTAAAACGACCGATTTCTTTGTTTTTCTTCTTCTTCTTCTTCTTCTTTTTTTCTTTTTCCCAAAAAATTATATATGTATATGATGTACATTATGAGAATTATTTGAGTTGTGAAATCATTATCTACTAGAAAACCGTTTGCGTAAGACGCCTGCTGCTTTGTCGCCAGTTGGTCTCACGATCAAATTATATGGCAACCTTCCGAAAAAATAAATACATCGAAGACATTCGCTCTCATTGAATTTTTTACCTTAAGGCTAATATAGTGTATTTGAATATCAGTAACTTACGAAAATTTTTCACGAACTAGTTTTAATACTAGTTTTAATTAGCGCTTTGTTTGTTTTTGCCCGATATAAGAACTCTCATAAGGCGTTTTCTCTCGCCGAGTTGCTTTCGAGTACACTTCAACGCATGTTAATCATTATTAGAATAAAGTCTCAGCTTTGCTGAAGTATTAGATGTTCTAACAAAAAAAAATGAACAAGAAAATAAACGATACGATAACAGCGACCAGAAAAAAATCTGATATACAGGATTAAAGAACTGATATGAGATTTGAAATTGGCAGTTTTTCTCTATAATACCAATGTCGTTCTAGTAATTAAGTCGTTAAAGGCTCGTGGACAAGCAGCTTAACTAGCTTCAGTTACCATTAAAACTGTAGATTATGAGCGGTTATGAAATCAGCTTGTTTGTGGACGCAGTGTTGAATTCGCGATTTTTAAATGTACAATGAAATGAAAATCTATCAACTATAAGTACGGACACTTTCTTCTTCCCTAATTCACTAAATGAACAGAACTACTTGAACTAAAAACTAAGAATTGAAGGAAATCGTTCTACCTGGAATTATGGCATGACCTCTACTTCGACGCGAAACAATCCGTGCGCAAAACGTCTTTTTCCTGCCGCTTCAGCGTGCCAGTCAATTTCAATTCTCTATAATGCGCA